AGCAACACACACAACACAAAACCAAAACAACGAGCAACAACAAACAATAAAAACACAGACACAAACACACACACAAACAAACACAAACAAACAAAAAACAAAACAAACAAACACAAACACATACACACACACAAACACACAAAACACAAAACACACACACACAAAACACACACACACACAAAACACAAACACACAAAACACAAACACACACACACAGCACCAAGAGAAGCAACACCCGACCCCGGTGGCACCATCAACAGGCCTCGTGAAGTAAGCGTCTCACCTCCACAATCCAGATGGAAGCATCGACGGCAACGATCTTTCCAGCAAGATGCTCAGGTTGCACGCGGCGTCCTGCAGGGGCCAGTAAGGCCCACAGTCCAGTTACACCCATGTGGGTGTAATAGGGAAGTCGTCAAAAGTCTTGAGATCTTCCGGAGCTGCGTTTTTTGTACTACTGCTCCCCACCACCCCCCCTCCCCAGCCACTCCGTTGAAGGTGTGCTCTCCCGCCTCGCTCCGCGTGAAGTGTCGCTTTCCCTGCACCTGCCTCCGTGCATGCGAAGGCTTCGGTTGCCTTCGCATGCACGGAGGCAGTCTGTCGGCAGTCGCGGATGTCACAGCGCGTGTAAAACGGGAGCTCTCGGGACGCTCGCCTTAGAGACCGTTCGCCAGCAATGCGTGCACCTGCGCCTACAGGGGGAAGGGTATGCTGTTAGAAGGTGCACTCCATGCCTCCGGATTTTGAAAGGCGGAAAAAATGCTGGTTTTGTTGTCGCAGAGCTCCCTGTTGTTGTTGTCGCGGAGCTCCCTGTTGTTGTTGTCGCGGAGCTCCCTGTTCCTCCTTCTCCTCCTCCATATGCCGCTCAAGGTGCCGCAATGACGTTTCTGCATGCCTTTTTCTTACGCGAAGAATCGTGGCCTTATGGCACTCTGCTGAGGGAGCGTGCAGCACTAGCACCGTGAACTTCACATTCTGTCTATCGAAGGTGAGGCGTAAGAGGTCTTGTGTTGTGCCTCTGCTGGCCTTATAATGGCGCCTTCCTGCCCCCCTTCTGCTTCCCGCGAAAAAAACGCGTCAGTTGTCTCTCTTTCGGAAGTAGAAGGAGAGTCTTCCCTGTTTTGACTAGCGAGCGAGCTTGCGCGAGTCGAGCAGCGGACACTTCAGGCCGTGCCGTTGCAGCAGCACTACACAAAAGACGCGCACTTGTGCCGGAAAAAAGGGTAACTGGCCTCTTTGTCGTTGGGTAATTGCTGAGAATTCGCTCTGCGGAAGCAGCGTGAGAAGGAGAGGGAGAGCCTTTGAGGCTTGTGCGCGAGCGAGGGGGTCGTCTGCCCGAGGGGCCCCCCTGTGCCTCCCTCCTGGGGAGAAAATCCCTCCTGGCTGCCTCTGCCTGAAGAGCAAGTGCAGCAGCGGGCGCTCGCTTGTGTGCAGCCTTCTTCTGCCGTCCTTCGCGCTCAAAAACGGGATTATTAGCCTTTTCGGTAGCCGTGCAGCCTCGAAAAGGCGGAAGCGACGGTCATGCACGGCGTGGCAGCCTGCGGCAGAGGGACCGCCGTCATCGGCGCTACTGTTGCGGCACTCCTTCAATAGCAGACTCCTCTTAGGAAGGAAAAAGACGTTTTTCACGGTCTGTCAAGACACTGCCAAGTGCGGGAAGTTGATGGTGCTCCTCTTAGATCCCGACAATCAGAGGCCTTTGCGTGAAGCCTTGAACGACAGCCCTAGGGGTAGCCATCGCTGCGTGGCAATGGACGTCGAGGATGGCAACGCCGCAAGCAGCAACGCCGCAAGCAGCAATACTGCATGCAGCAAGGCTGCATGCAGCAAGGCTGCAGCGGACGGCAGCCGCCCCCTCCCTCCCGATTCGAAGGTCGTAAATGCGGCTGTCGGGGAGAAGGCTGACGAGGAGGAGGATTACGAGGAGGAGAACGACGACGACGAAGAGGACCCCATTGTCGAGGTCCTAGATGTGTATCTACGCCGTTTCGACGATATTCTCGACGAAGGAGGCGCTCCCAGCGCGGCTGCTGTCGCGCCAGACGGCGCAGCAGGCGCTAAGAGCAAGGTGTTCGTCTTGCAGTTTCCCTTACGACCTCAAGGGCGGCCTTACGGCGATCACGGACGGCTCCAGCAAGTGGCGTATCGCCAGCAGCAGCAGCAGCTGCGCCTCAGCTACGCGTTGCATGCCGAGGGCCCCAACTTCGATCACAACCACCCCCTTGCAGCGGCTGGCTCAACGGGGGAGCAAGCTCGACACGCCAGTGGGGTAGTCGGGGGGGGCGGCACGACGCCGCATGTGCTCAAGAGCCAAGTCGCGAAAGGCAGCGAATGCAGCTACGCAGTGGGGGTGGTGCGCAACGGCATCCTGTACTTGACGCCGGCTCAAGGCGTTCTGCAATTCAAACCAGACTTTGGAGCTTTCGAGGCTTTGCAACACCAGCAGCAAGTCAGCAGCAGTCGGAGGCTGCAGCAGCAAGGCTCGGGAGGCTGCGAAAGCTCCGCTTCGAGTGCCACAGCGCTCTCTGGCATTGCCGTTGCCGCGGCTGCCGCGACTTCCTCCTCTCCCCATGAGGCAGCAGCAGCAGCAACAGCAGCAGCAACAGCAACAGCAACAGCAACAGCAACAGGCCAGAAGGCCCTTCCAGGCGAGGGTGCTGCCGGAGCACTACCCCCGAAGCAACAGCAACAACAGCTGATTCAACACATGGGGGAAATGCGGACTCGCATCTCCCATAGCAGGCAAAGAGATATCGAAGAAAGCGAGCCGTGGATACCTATCGAGGTAGGAACGCCCACCCCTCAACCTCACGCCTGCCAGCCTTTACCCCTAGTGGCATGAAGTGCAAATTCTGAAGGGCGAGAACGGCAACTAGCAGCAATAGCAATAGAACCAGCAGCAGCGACAGCAGTAGCAACACTAGAGCAGCAATAGCAATAGCAATAGAACCAGCAGCAGCGACAGCAGTAGCAACACTAGAGCAGCAATAGCAATAGCAATAGAACCAGCAGCAGCGACAGCAGTAGCAACATTAGAGCAGCAATAGCAAAACAGCAATAGAACCAGCAGCAGCGACAGCAGTAGCAACACTAGAGCAGCAATAGCAAAACAGCAATAGTAGCAACATTAGAGCAGCAATAGCAGTAGCAATAGAACCAGCAGCAGCAATAGTAGCGACGCTAGAGCAGCAATAGTAAAATAGCAATAGTAGCAACACTAGAGCAGCAATAGCAATAATAGCGACCGCAGGAAAAGGGCAAGGCGGCGGGTATTGTGGCTTTGCAGTCGTTGTTCACACACTCTGCGTCATAGAAAAGCATATCTTCACTCATGATGATAGGACGCGCGGCTTGTGTGGGAGGCATATGTTTGTGTTATTCTTTCAGACGTTTTATGATGCGGATACTCCCGAGGCTTTCGACTTGCTTAGTGCTTTGTTCAATAAAGATCGAGGTGAAAGGATGCACCTGATGCTGCTCGCATTGCTGCAAGCGGGGCAGCCGTTGAGGCCTTTTGCGGCTCCTGCTGTTGCTGCTCTAGCTTCACACCGTAGATTTGTGCAGTGCTGCTGTTGCCGCTTGCTGCATTCTGCCTAGCCAGGGTGTGGGGGATGGCGGTGCATGCATGCATGCGGCGATGCTGGCGTTGTAGGGGCTTTCTCCCCCCAAGAGGATGCGGCGATCGGTAATTGTACCTTTTTCGACAGCACTACTGCGCAGAAGCAAGCGCAGCCGCAAGAGGCCGCGCAGCAGCGGCGTCAGCACTGTGACGACATCGTGTTTGCATCCGACATCGTGTCGTATCTTTCCTCGATATGCCGAAGTCAGCAGCAAAACGAGCAGTCAGCAGCGGCTGCTGCGGCTTCTGGACCTCTTAGCTATGCAGCGCTGCACCGACTGCCCCTCGATCAGCAGGTATGCGGGCAAAACGCTTTCCTGCACTACTGGAAAGGCTGCCTCTTGCAAAATCCTGCCCAGCTCTAGACACCCCGTGCTGGACCAGCCTGCCTGAGCTTCACGCTGCCCTCTTGCTTCGAGCTGTGTGGTGTGCCGCCTCAGGTTTTTCGGATCATGAAACAGCTGCACTTGGCGTCTCACGCAACTGTGAAGCGCTTGCTGGCAATTCCCACGGAGGAGCAGCAGCTGCTGCAGCAACTGCTGCAGCAATGCTCCCAAGTGCAAGGCAACTGGTGTCTCAAGAGCTCCCTCGCGTGCTCGTCGACGTACGAAGCCACGTGCCGGGATCTGCTGCTCGCGCTGCTCATCCGAGACGCTCAGCAGCAACAAAATGGGACAGGCATCGCCAAGGAAGCCTTCAGAGCTGCAACGCGCCTGCCACCAGAAACAACTGATGAACTGCTTACCCAAGTGCGCTTCCGAGGGCCCTTATCCGTTTGTAGATAACAAGCGGAGCTGATGTGCTCGGTTCAAAAACACTACCAGAAGCGTCATCAGAATACATATATATGCATACATATACATACATTTATATACATATATATGTATATAATTACATATCTAAGAGTGCAAGTGTCTGCGCTTTGAAATGCCATCAACTTACTTGAGGAGGGGTTTGGATGCTGGGCAGTGTCTTCATGCTTCTCGAATGTGGGCATTTCCTTCTGCATGATGATTTGCCGTGGTATATTCTTTGCAGGTTGCGGTATGTGCGTCCTCCTCCTGGCGCTTGAAGCTTCCCCCCGATGAAGCCTTTCTTTCGGCTCACCCCAAGGTGGCAGCGCACTTTGCGGCCTTTTGGGAAAATCGTTTGAAAGAGGTCGTCAAGGAGGTTCACGCCAAAAGAGAGGCTGCGGAATCGCAAGGTAACGTGCGACTCATGGCGTGTCTTTGCTTGCTGTCTCTGCTGCGCATGCTGCGTGTTTGATCGCTGCCTCGTGTTTTGGCTAGAATACCCTGTATGCGATTGTAAGGTGCCATCTTCCACTGCGTTTCACGGTATCGATCCCAAGTGTGCGCTGCACATGGCGTATTCTTAAACATAGGCCGTCTACGTGTGTGGTTCCGTCCACGATCTTTTATGTATGTGTTGCTGCACTCCTTCTTGAGGGGTTTTCTAGCCGCTCTGATCATGCATTCACCTTCTTGGCACGCATGTGCGTTCTGATTCCAGCGAACGGCCGCTCTACGGGGGCGACCACCCCAGCGCAGCTGCAGCTGGCGGCTCGGGGAGTAAAGGCCATTCTCTGCGAGTTTGGGGGCCTCTCCCTAACGGAAATACGAGACAAACTGGTCGAAACAAGCGACGAACTCAAGACACTTACCGATGACGAGCTCAAGCACGTGCTCCGGGGCATAGCCCTACATGTACAGTACGTCGTCCTCTTACACCCTAGAAGCCTGCTCTGAGTTTGGTGGTGCTGAGGAGCAGAGAACGTGACAGTGAGACAGATGTGGTGTCAATTGTGCTTGACTTGGCTTTGCAACTTCCAGCCAAGGGGGTTGGGGCCCTCGAGGGGAGTTGAGAGTTCTTGTACGCGCATGCCTGTCTCACTGGAGGAAAACGTGAAGGGGTTCGCGGCAACCGCATGCATCCCCTCTGCGTGTGTCTTCCGCATTTCTCATGCTCCGCGTGTCCTTCATGGTCGTGTTGTACTCAAAAGGTTGTTATCTAAGACTCTGCGTCTCTGTGGCGTAGGGGCATATGGGTGCTGAACTCTTTGGGAAACCCCCAAATCGATGAATTTAGAAGTGCCCTTATCAGAGTTTTCAGTTCCAGCAGCCCCCCAAAGACGAAATCGCAAATTATTCAAGTACGACTGCGTTCTTCCTTTTGAGACTCGCCACGTTTACTCAGAAAGCAACTCTTTCGTGGCCGTCCGCTGCTACTGAGAGCGCGAGCAAAGCCGCCAAGGTTTGGGGCGGGTGCTCGCACCTTTTGAAGTGATGTGGTGGCATGGAAGCTTCGCGTGTATGTGCAGGCCATAGAAGCAGATCTTCAACGCCGCGTATCGCTGCCGGACTTTGCGCTTCGGAAACTCTTACGGTAATGAGTGCCAAAACAGTCACTGTCTCCATGCCTCCTGAACCCCATTCAAGTGTGGACTTAGCTGCAGCTGTCTGCGCTCATGAGCGCCTGCTCTGCACATTTTGTCGCGCAGCGGTGTATTCTATGACTTACTGCAGGGAGTTCGCCAAAAACGAAAACGGGATGTGGATCTTCAAAGGCAATAATTCGCAAGATGCAGTGACAGGCGTCTTGGCGCTGACTGCCTGAGCAGTCAAAAGTCATCATATAAAACCTTGGGAACTCTGCCGCGCGTCTTGGGGCTTGATGTCTGAAAGCCTCTTCTATTCTTTTCCTACCCTCTGGTGCCCCTTCCGTCCAGCTACTGCTGTTGCAATGGAACTGCATCGAGATGCCGCAGGCTGAACAGCAGCTCCTCTGGCACAGACAGCTTCCCTCCTGTCCGCATTTGCTTCGATACCTTCGATGCAAGCGACCAGCTCATGCTTCTTTCTTGGCATCCCTAGGAATAGTTGGCAATTCGATTTAGGTCCCTTTGAAACGTGAGCGGCACGAATCTTTCTCTAGTGAACACTGCCCCTTTGGTGGTCCTTTGTTTATGAAATATTGTTTCAAAGAGACGTGCGGGATCTGATAGATGTAGCATAATTCTTCAAAGTGCGAAGTGTCGTTCTACAGAACTTGTGCTTGCCTATTGGCTCCGCTGGAGTGGGCTGAAAGAGAAGGCGTCTAGCCGCCGTGCAATACTGATTCTTCGGTGCCCTCGTTGAAAAAGGCTTCGTGCTTTTTTATGCGGGTTGTTCAAAGAGACAGCGATTGGCGCTGGATAAAGTGTTATTTCTAGGAGTTGAGGTACCCGTATCACATCGTGTGTATGTGTGTGTATTCCTCGGGAGAACGACTTCAAAGATAAAGTCTTCAAAATACACGTGCTACTTCTGCCTGCCTGCTTTATCCTAAGCAGTGCTGGTGGCGCGAGGAAATCACTTTGCATGTACATTCATACAACCGCGACGCATGCCTGCGCTCATAGCTTAGTGGTAGGTATCTTGGTCAGAGTCCACAAGCCTTGGTGTTACTGCAGCTTTCCTAAAGGCATAAAAACACTAGACGCTCATGAAGGCTGAATCCCAAGCACCTATAAGGGATGGATAGACTAGCCACTGGAAAACCAACCTTAGTAAGCTCCCCGCGCACCTGTGCTACATGGGTGCGTGTTATGTAGCTAATAAACTATGAACCCTTTTGCTCGATACATATTAGGTTGTCGTGGCTAGGGTGTGCTGGACTGGAGAGTCGTGTGGGTCGTTTAGCCTCCATGATACTCCCAGCAGTGCTCTTCGGAATGCCGCAGCACCGTGCCTCATACAAACAAGCAGCCAGTTGGAAGAAGTTTGCTGTTTCTGTCAACAAATTTAAGCGGAATTCCAACAAAGTCGATTAATGTGATGAGCGATATGGAGGAAAGCATTTTAGGGCCCCCCTTCAAAGTTACTTATCAAGGCATTTCCCCCCTTTGCCCAACCTCGCTGCCGCAAAGCAAAGGCTGCGCCTACAGGAAAGCGGTCCTTATAGGCCTTCTACTATGGGAAGTCTTGCCGGTTCTTGAGACTCCCTAGCCCGTGTCTGTGTGAGAAGACTGAAGGCTGGCATTCGCGTCTTGCGCGTCATTTACCTCCTGGTTCTGGAGGAAGGCAGTGACAGACCTGCCTACCGCTCTGAAGGCATTCCCAATGCCTTCAAGGCCCTTCACGATGCCCTCCGTCTGCCTGTTGATGAATGATTGCGTTTGATACTGCCTTACAGCCCGCAGCAGTCGGCTCTGGCTGCAGGCGCTGCAGTGTTCATGCAGGTGCATGCAGCACAGATACGATCCGTAGGACTTTCCGTTGATCGCATAGTATCCGGGGATGTAGGTAATGTTTGAGAAGGCATTTTTCATATAAAAGGATAAAGCAGCGGTATTGTAGTCTACCACATGCAGATACAGTGCAGCAGTGGCCACAGGATTATAGGCAGATCGAAAAAATGCCACCGCAAGATGCAGCAGGGCAGCTGCAACACCCAAGCGGCGGAACGGTGCAGCAACTGCCAGCGTCAATACGTAAGCCAAATCGCTGCACTCCTCATCAGGAGCTAGCGCCGAAGGCAACAGCTGAGAAACATCTGGAACGCAAGCTCCCGCACTTGTACTGAGCAAAGGCGAATCTAAACCACCGGAGCGCACAGCAGCCGAAGCTGCAATGCCTGCCTGCTCGGACGGCCAAACTGAATTACCCGCATACACACCACCGTCTTCTCGAAGCCCTCCACGCTGCTCCGCCATCACTGTAGCGCCACTGTTGACATCCGGAGAAAAAACCGAGAAAAATGTAGGAAGGGTGAGAAGCTGCTGCGGCTGCCTCGCTGCCAGTTGCATGCGACAACACGGCTGCCCCACCCCCCCCCCCGTTGCGACAACAGAGGAGGAGGCTCCCGGATGCGCTGACGCCTCCCTCGATGGATCGCTATTCGCCGACGAAAGATCTGATGCCTCAGCAGCAGCAACTGCCGCTGCGGCTGTGGCTTCCTCTGCCAATTCTGTTTCTCTCTGATCCATCCACTGCCGGACAGCCTCTGCGTCTTCAGGTCGGATATACGCAAGGCTCTGAGACACCGTAATCACGCCAACGAGCAGCTCCTCGTCCTGCTGTTGCTGTTCAGGAGAGCAAGAGAAAGTCAAAGGCGGAGACGATTCGTTTACGCACTCAGGAGCCGCTGTCGGGGGCACCTCAGCAGCAGCCGTCGCGACGGAGTCATTGCCCATACCACCACGACTGACACACACGGGGTGGTAGGCGAACTCTGCCCGCTCCTCCTCCTGCGGCTGCTGTTGTTGCTGCTGTTGCGGTTGCTGTTGTTGCTGCAGTTGCTGCCGAAGCCTCCGAATGTCTTGCCGCCTCACAAGAGCGACGAGGGCGAACCCCTTCCCCGAGCAGATGTGGGAGTAGAAGGCTTCATCGTACTCGAAGGGGAACGCCTCAACGTGCAGCTGCTGGAGCTGCTGCCAGTCCGCCGCAGTGGCGAGCCGGAAAGACACCAGAGGCTTCAGCATAGAGGGAGGCATCCCTGCAACCTCTTTGTGAATAGGCAGCTGCATTACGGGAGGGGGACGACTGTCATCTATAGGAATCGCTGACGAAACAGCATACTGCGCCTGAGGCTCCTCGTGTAATAGCACTTCCCGTTCGGCCTGCAAGAAACTCTCGCACTGTAAGAGCTCCGAAGAATCCAGCTCGTCGTTGCCTTCCCCGAGAAGCGCCTTTGCCAGCTTGGGTTCCCCCGTATAGATCATTTCCGAGGCGAATCGACACCACTGCGAAAAGGCACCTTTGTCCTCAGCCTCCTCCATAGGAGGCGCAAATGCAGAATCCAAAGTTGACAGTCGATCGCGAGGAGGAACGTCGACCTCTCCGGGGGTGGTTCTGCGGAGACCAGGGGCCCTATAAGTGTTCAAGAGATTCTCGAAGCGGTCGCAAGCTCGAGGGCACAGAGCAGCAGCGGGTGAAAGAGGAAGATCAGTCTGTGTCAAAGCTGCAGCGTGAGCTCTTTGCGCGTTCACTGGCGCTGCGTGTGTTGGCGGTGGAGGTTCCCCATGCAAAGGGGACGTTACCCTTGTTGTTTCAGGGGCCTCTTGTGCTGCTGCAGATGGCTCTTCTTCTGCTGATCCTCGAAAAGGCTTCAAGGCTCTCTGAAAGCCGACGGGAGAGGAGCTGCAGGACCCCTCCATTTCAAAAGCTGTGGCTTCCTGCTCTGCTCGCTGCTGAGTGGCAGCTACGGCCGGTGACGCCTGTGGCCTGTGCTGCCGTCGTTCTCGCAGCCTCGTATGAGGGAAGTCACCTCGAAAAATGTCGCAGACACACTGGAGAGCAGCCCAGCCGCTCCTCGAAGTAGCGTGTACTCAAGAGGCATGCGCCAGGCAACACCACGCCTAAAAATGCTGGGGGGAGAAGGGAGTTACTGCAGCGACTACTGGTTTGATAATTGCCGCTGCTGGCATTCCGCGAGTGAAATATCATGTGAACATGTTAACGCAAAGAGCGCAGGGTGCAGCTCTTCATGGCCGTTGGGTGCTGGAGGGGGGGAGTCGGCAGGAGAGCCAAAGGAAGAGGGCGCTTGAAAGGGCAAACGCGTGGCAAGCGCAACTCATCGGCAAAAGCCGAATGAAGTACAGTATAGCTGCAAAAGGCAATGGCCGCCCATGCGGCTACTGCTGGCCCTGCAGTGGGTGTAGTTGCATGCCTCGGCGTGAGCCCGTGCTGGGAAACCCAGTAGTGCCACAAGGAAAAAATTATTGTATTACCTCTTAAGGATCCTTTTCTATTTATACTATGGAGAAAACGGCTCATATATTCATGTTGGCCGCCCCCATTAACGGCGCCGTCCGGATTGGAACCAAGCAGTGCATTGCAACAAGTGGTCTGTTTCAGGAACTCTCTGCATTTTCTGCATTAACTTGATCCTATTAGAATGATTTCACATAAAAATGGTCTCATTATACGCGTGCAAGGCCCGTCGCTTGTTCTGTGGGCGCAGACAAGGAAAAAGGGAGCGGAAACGCAGACACGGGGTTGACCATCGGCAAACTCCCTACTCACGAGTTCTCTCGTACTTCAGTTTATGACATAACTAGGTAAATAGGCAGTGCAAGAGAGATGGTGGAGGAAAAAGAGAGGGAAAGCGTGCGAAAAACATCATGCGCAGTGGGCAAAAAGCAAGTGTAAGGAAAAAAGTGCTCTGTGAACTTGAACCACGTATGCACAGAAAAACGTTGGGCGCACTTGGCTAAAGCAGCATTGGCTGGATCTGCACAATGCACCCGATGTGCTAAATAGAAGCTCTGAGCCATAACCGCGTGGGAAAAACCTCGGGATGGGGGCTAGCAGGAGAAAGTGGATAAACTGGGCTAAAACGCCCGCTATGAGCATCCTTACGACGCTGTCCAGTAGTTATTCTGCCCTACTGTTTGCAGTAAACATAGAAATTGCCACTGCTAGCAGTAACGATTAGCTCGCTATGCAGACAGTGTTCCCCATATAAAACTAGTGTGGCGTACGGGGACTTCAAAGTAGGAGGATAATTCCTTATAGGATGTACCTACGGATGCCATTGTGCTACTCAATCCTAGATATTGGTGTGCGGCGTAAGCATTTGATACGTGGGCTTACTCCACCAGTAATGCTGACATCCACCCGGCGCCCCATGTTGCATCGAGCTACGCCAAAGTCACTTTATCGCTTTTGATGGTAGACAACATGTTGCTTGTTATATAGAGGGGCTCTGAGCACTACAAAACATACAATTTGCGAAGGTCAGAATTCTGTAGGCCGGCCCTAGCCTGCAGTCGAATGTGGATGAGAGAAGAAAGTGATAGGGAGCCCTCTCTCTCAAGCAGCCAGAGATTGCGCCCAGCATCGATACATTTTGTGGAAAATTAAGTCATAAAGTGCGAAACTTTAAGCACATGCAAAGGGTCAAAGAACTTGAGCGACGACAGTTGGCCAAGCCGAAGCCCGCTGCTTGGAAAACAGATAAGGCGCATCACGTAAAGGGAAGAGCAGGCTATATCAAAGAGAAGGGGACTCAGAGCACAGAGCCGCAGTTGATAACCCAACACGTGTCAACTATACTCTGGTTCAATGCCACAATAATGGTCAAGAATTGTTGGCGCACAGGGCAAAGACTTTGTTTGCTTACATGCAGACGGAAGGATGGGCAAGGCCAGGGCAGTTTACTGCCACTTGAAATTAGAGTTGGATCCTACTAGCATGGTCTGCGACTTCTGTGCTGGAATCGTGTACCATGATGCTATCCTAGGTATGCCGCGGATCACCCCCACAGTTCCGGGCTCTGAAGGATAGGGTGCCAGGAATCTCTAGAAAAAATCAACTCGTGGTCTTCTCAGCAACGCTTACTTCATCTATAATGGGGTCGATACCTGAGCAATGAGATGCAGAGTCTTCGTGTGAGCGACTCAGCAGTGCAGTAAGACAATACAGTTCTAAGCATGCATCCCATCTCATTAGCTCCGCAAGTAGTTCTTTATTTAGGATTCAATTTAGGTGTACGCCGAGGAGCTGCAAGGCCGATCGAATGTCAAGGTTTTAGCGGATGTGCTTAATAATGATGAGCTACAGGCTGGTAACGTGCTGGTCGTCCAGCGCACTACATTGAGCTAGTCTCCAGATCTGTCTCTAGCTGTGTTCCATGGTATCGAAAGGCTCCCATATCATGAAAGGAGACGGAGATGCAGGCAGTTGATTTTCCAAGAAAGGGTAGAGTTTAGGAATCGACCAGCTCCTTTCGGCAAAACCTTGTGTTTGTGCCAGAAGACGACGAAAGGTGGCGCATTTCCTTTAGCGTTAAGACTCTGGAAAAAGCATACCGGAAGGCAGAAGTTCCCGACGCCTCATCGGCTAATTACTGAGCAAGTTAGGCGGTCTATTCGGTACTTGGTTTCACAGATATCCCCATTGACCCAAATGACAGCCCGGCGTTCCACAATCGCTCTCAAAAACTCGAATATATTCGCATGCCGCTAGGCCCTGTTAACGTCCCAGTTGAGCAGCAATGGCAAGTTAATCCGAATTATCATGAGCCTATCAAGGAGGCTTAGACGGCTGTATATATGGACGACGCCTTGTTCTATAGCCAAAACGTTCAAGGCGATCACCTACGCCGCCGCCTTCAGGTCTTACGGAACAAGCAGTGCTACGTATACATTCGCATGCGTTTGTTTCTTTAATCAAAAATTTGTTAGTCGGGCCGCAGGAACTGAACCAGAATCGGCAAAAGTTGTAGCAATCAAGCCATGGCCTTTTCCATTACGCACCTGCAAGAACGGCGTACTGTTCTGTGGGTTTGCATCATAGCATCGAAGTTATATTCCCGAATCGTCTCAAAGTAATAATCCTCTGTCCGATCTGCAAAAAGCTGCAGTCTATGATCTGGACAGGAAAGGACAGTACTGCAGCAAGGACGCTTAATACCCTGCTCACAACTCCTTCGCTACTTGCGTTGCCACATTGTGGGCGGGATTGACTCCGAGCACTCAAATCTAGTGACATGGCTGTGGGTGTAAGCTTCTTATTCTCATGCCTTCACTGCAGCAGAGTAGGGGTATCCAGAACGTAAGAAGAAACTCCTAGGGGTCATCACATGTGATAATACCGTCTACATGTGGGCGTCGTCTTGCTCTTCAGACCAACCATCAGTTTCTGATGTACTTTCATAAGAGTTTCAGAGTCCTAATATTTGTAGAGTCATTCACTGGCTTGAGTGGCTCCTGCAGGACAAATTATGATGAATAATATAAAGGGCACCCTCAGCGTGATCGTCAATGCCCCCTTGTCACGCCCTACTCCTTCACTATCGTGCAGTGTAACTGCCCTTGCTTCATGGTTTGGACGGTCATACATCTCTTACTCGTGGCAGCCTCCGCAATGGAAAAGGGTGAATCACTATCACTTGTATTACTGTGATTCAAAAAGCGATAACCCCATAACTTGTACATTCCGACCTTCTCCTGTAGTTCCGCTTTGTATGCAGCGTATTAACCTTTTTTAAAGCCATCATTGAATTTGCACTAAAGAAAGCCTGGCACGGTCCTTCTGGTGCCTGAGAAGCTTTCTGCGGCGGACAAGTATGGACTTTCATACCCAGATTGTCAGCAGTTGAAGCTCGGAAATTCCTCGAAGCCCAGCCTTCTGCGAAGCCGTCGAGTAACCGAAGGAGCTTTGAATGATCGGACTTTGGACCTTTTTGCTGGACTGCGGGGGTCAAGGCTGAGGGTAGCATGCCCTTCGTTGCGGACAGGCTCATCAAGTATGTCCATTCCCTCCCTTGATCCAGCTCCTTCACGGCTAAGAATGCCGCTCAATCACTTTCATATTGTGTATGAAAGCTCCATGCGTTCCATAGGAGTATCATTGTGGACAAAATATAAAGTTTAGAAAGTGCATTCTGGCGTGTCTTCATGGTCCAGCTACGCAGGGACCACAATATGACCACTCCTAGCCATCATTATGTGGACAAGTCAAACGCGTTATCTGCATTCTTCCACAGTGCCTGATATTATAGTCCCACAGATATTCTATTGCTCTGCTTGATTTACTTGTTTGTTTTGAGGCGGCTCAGAATACGGCAGTACACTCGCCTACCCGTTGGTTTCCCTTATTTCCTGGTCTTCAACGACGAGCTCCTCTCAGATCCAGGCCTGGAAGTGGTAGTTTGCGATCAGCACCCACCCTTCAAATTGGCCGCTTTTAGAAAACAGCGGGCTAGTGCGCGCGCATGCGTGGCCAGAACTCAAGGAATACAAGCGCGGAGTTACTATATGCTTCGGTCGGCTCGGTCTTTTTGAGCATAGATTTTTGGTCCTGGTGCTTGGTAGGCTCCACGAGACGCAAAAGAAGGTAAACGGAAACGGACGCACAAGTTTGCCGCCAGGTGGCTAGAAACGTTTGCGATTCGGTCACGAACAAATACTTTTTAATACTCCATAGATTTCCGTATAAGCTGGAGCTGCCACAGATTCATCAATGTTGGCTTCCTCGCGATTTGAAAACTCCCTGAATTATTAGCAGATCCTGGCACGCAGGCAAATGACCCATGTAGGGACGGATAATTCACACGGAGCCAGGAAAGTGCTGAGTTTCTAGTGCCAGTGAGCACCAAGGGCCCGCTAGGCGGAACGTTCTAAAATAATTGGATGGGAAAGGCCAGCTTTAGTGCATAACGGAGGATCAGTTGGGGATGTTTTGGCTTGCGGGAGAATTTGTGGACTTTTATGGCTACAACGCTAATCTCGATGGAACGTACTCCTTGTGTTCCTTGGTAATTGTTCTTTTCCCGCGAATTTTCGCCCATAGATTTGTCCTTATCTGTTAAAATTGGGAAAAGTGTTCCTGTTGATATTGAAGTGGTGTCCTCTATACTTATATTTATGCGCAGCATTCGGAGGCATGTTGTCTCTACATTTTTAAATGCCTCCTTTGGGGCCTCAGAGCTGGCTTTGCTGCATGCACCGGCGTAAACTGGCATGCAGGTATTGCTTTATGAGACGCGGGGGTACTGCTGGACTAGTGCACATTTTGAGTTCCTCTACACGCTGATCTTGTCACGTTTTTTGCCGTAGTGGCAGGCTCACACATTTCAGCGCTTCGACAACAGCGAGAGACAACTAGGTCTCGGTCAATGGTCCCTAGCCCGTTCCTTGCTAATGTATTTGCCTGACTTCCTGCTCCCTTTAGCTCATCTGTGGACTCGCGCATCTGCTGTTCTCATTTGCGTTGTTTTGCCGTTCCTGCCTTTTTAGAGTGGTGATGTGGCGGTACTTGTACCATTGTCCTGGACTCAGCTGTTTTTGTTGTACAGGTATGGAACGAGAGGGTGAGATTGTTGAAAAGGTGGGAACTAAAGGAGTAGGGGGCTAAGCTTCACTTCGACACTTTCTACTACAGTAGCCGTATCTAAATAAAAAGCAGAAAACAATCGAGGAATTTGCTTACTTGCTTGTATGTCTTGTTTACTGCAACGTACAGTGAACTCGATACAAGAAGACGCAATGCTGGATGCATGAGCGTTAACTGCTAGGTGGAACTAGCTGTGAGTGCTCGGGGTGCCTACAGGGCACGGGCAGGGGGAGGCGGGATTTTTATGCAAAACACTAGGTGACTTATCGTCGAGTCTGTATCGAGTTTGCAGTTAGGTGTTTCCCTGCTGAGGCCTTAGATAGAGTGCTACACTAAACATTCTAAAGGTGAAAGTTATGCCGTGGGTGCAAGCTTGACGAGCTGCTCGAAGCTCGAAGTCACGGGGGAGGGATCTTCGCTGACCGGAAAGGCACTCACTTGAGCACCGCTGGGAGGTGTTGAGGCCTGCCACTGCTACTCAACCGCTCACTCGCAGTGCGTTGCGTGTGTATCGATCGGTGCAGCTAGTTTTGCACTGCTATGCAGCCACGCTGTCAGAACATCGACCGGGTGCAGTGTACACGCATTCGGGACTCACCATGCACTTTTTTTCGTAGAATACTGCAGCCTTATGCACGTAGCCGAGTGCACAGCAGTGACTGCTCACTGTGGCGGTCTGCACGAAGCCAGCGCTAGCCGAAAGTCGTGCTTGTTCTCCAGGACCACTGGTCGTGCTCTGCTCCTAGGCAGATCCCAAGAACCCATGGCTGCCGAAGAGGCCCCTGTGGAGCAGCTCATGATGCACAGCAGCTGCTGTAAATTTTGCTCAAGCTCGTTCTGGTGCTGCAGTCGCTTGCCGACACCGAAGCGGAAGCAGCACCGCCAAGGTGTAGAATGTCAAGGTGGAATCAATGCCGTGGACACGGCCGGAAGTGTTTTTCAGGTGTGAGCGTACTACACAGCCATGCGTCTGAATTCTTAGTGTTCAATCAAGAAAATGAATAGCTCGCAAGGCTATAGGAGTCGAGCAAACACAAATTCTGGGGGGCCTCCGTATCTCCGGAAGAGTGGCTGCTGGTGTGCCACTCTTGCTGCCGCTCTTGCAGCCGCACCAGCAGCATGCGTGAATAGAGTCAAAGCTGTAGCTTCATGCTGCTGCAGCAGCAGAAGCTACAGAAGCACCTGCTGCCGCGGGCGCCTCTTGGCAACAGCAGCAGCAGCACGACTGACTACACCTTGCGCTTTCTTTGGAAACTAGCAGCAGCAGCATCACGCTGTCTAGCATCTGTCTCGCGTGCTAGTAAGCGATGCCTTGCATATCAACAGGCCTGGTTTTTGCCGCGCCTGCTAGAGGGGCGGTGCCAGGCTAGCAGCCACTACTGTGCCAGCAAGGGTAACGGCTGCAGAAGCCACATGCGCGGAAGTCGAAGGAAGTTGCAACTCGGATTTTATCCCTTCATAACTCGTCATGAGGGCTTTCCGCATGACCTCGGGGCCCGGGTGGCGGCTGCTGTTGCGTGGTGGGCTGAGGCTGGTGTAGCGACACCTCGGCATCTGCGGATGAATCCGCATTCTGGTGCTGCTGCAGCAGTGTGTCTGAGAGAAGGTCCCGCAGAGTTGCCTCATAGTTGCCAGAGGCAAGGGCTTGCTGCCGCAGCAGCAGCAGCTGCTGTCCAGTGTACAGGACATGCTGCAGCGCCACGATGACAGCAGCGAGAAAGAGCAACCCCCCCAGGAAGAAGCAGCAGCAGCAGCCCGAAACACGCAGCAGCGGTCGAGGCGATGTATCCAACACCTATGCAAGCCCATATCCACAACACAAGCACAGCGGCTTAAACGAGAGCAGCAGCTCAGAATACACCGTAGGCAACTCAGTCACACTGTCCACCAACCAAGAGCGACGCCTCACTGCAACAGAGTAATCCGCGCTGGTTGATACCAGCACCATTCCATTCTCGATAAAGCATAGGCCAGTCGCCGGTAGCTCGTGTGCCGCCGCTTTGCCCAATTGGGTCAGCCTAATACATGCATACACATATATATATATATATATACACATACATATACATATATATACATGCATACACACACATTCAAATACACACACATATATATATATATACATACACATATATATATATATATATATATATATATATATATATATATATATATACATACACAGACACACAGGCCAGGCCATATTTCAACGGTTGACGGTCGAAAGAAACCTTTCGTGCGTGCAATCGGAAGGGCTAGTGAGAAGCCTATTTCCCTAGTATTCTTGAAGCCGCCGGAGTTTGAGAGGTCTCAACTAGAGCAGCAGCTTGGAGCAGACGGTAGGCAATTTAGCCACAATCTCGAGCACTCAAGAGAAGCCGCCATCAGGGTGTCTTGCAGTACAGCATCGTGGGAGGGGTTTAAATTTGGGAAGGCTTGCCTTCTATCAAAGACCTTGCAGCTTCCATTGGCGAGGCCGATAGCGATCCTCTGCTGATCGTCAGAAACTGCGAGCTGGCAGCAGGGTGAAGAGGAATCGCAGCATACAGCGCATACCTCCTGTAGCTTTGCTGCTTGTGGCGCTGCCGCTGTTGGTGAGGCTCGTGCTGCAGCTGCAGGGAGATCCTCAACCTTCTTGTCGCTGCTCGCTGGAGGCGTTCCCGCTTCCAGGGTTACCACTGCCCTGCGAAGAAGAACGCAGAGATGCGATATCCGGACTGTCTGTCCATCTATCTCTCTTTCTCTCTCGAGGAAAAGCCTGGAAAGCAGCGCCTCACCCACCCTGCGCGCCAGCCAGACCCCATTGGCAGCAACAGCACCAGAAGCAGCCTCTGAAGAACTAAAGCTGCACGAGAGGCTGAGGCTTACCAGCCAAAGAGGAAGGAAGGGCCTCTCGCATCGCTGGCAACGGCAATAAGGCGCTTTTGAGAAGATCCTGCCTGGTGCTGGCCTCTTAGAAACCTGATGAGCCAAAGAGCAATCGGCGGCAGCGGCAGAAATGGATTGGAACCGAGAACAAGTGCAAAAGCACAACGACAACAACTGACTTTCCGATGGGCATGGGAACGTTAAGGACACGAACACACAGACAAGGGAGCCGAATTCACGGGATGCGGCAGAGAGAGAGATCGCCAAAGAAATTAGAGCGAGAAGCAAGTGCCCTTGAAATTTTTTGCAGCATCGCAGCAGGCAAATCATGCATCTCTCTTCTCCTTTTCGCAGCGAGCACACCGAGCTGCCGCCCCCCTTCCCCCCTTCTAAACGAGATGCAGTCGAATCCTGGCATGTTTATCTTTCGCCCTCTTGTTCATCGGCTGCTGAGAAGACAAATCTATCAAGTGCCAAGAAGGGCACAATTTTCACGCTCCAAACCTCGAGCTCCCAACTCTGAAGCCTCCCACGCGGCGGCTCATGCGCCCTCGCCTCTTCTAAACTCGCCCTAAGAGACTCCTGATAGGTCGAATTTTCCGTGACTCAAATTCTACAGCACATCCTGAGCCGTAGATCCTTCCCACGCGCTTGGACCCCACTGGCCTCGCGATCCCCCGGTGCCGCAGACTTTCTCACAGTCATACGCACCTGCAGCAACGGACGTTGAGCGTCTGCTTGCTATTTCTAGGATGAGAAACCTGATGAGAGAGCAGCAGCTCCTGGCCTCTCCAGTCCCAAAGACACAGGCGACCATCGCCTCCACAGGAAGCCACCTGAAGGGGAAAGGACAGATTTCCGCAAACAGAAGAAGCGCGCATGCATCTGGATGTGCGCCAGGAGGAGGCTCGGTATTCCTTTTTCCCCGTTCGCGGCATTCCTAAGGGCGCTGCAGCGGACGATATACGCCTGCGGCTCCAAGAAAAAGAATTAAGCGATAGACTGCATCGTTTGGCCTCAGTGCACGCGGCATGAGCCGCAGACAAATCAATAGACCAAGCAGATAAGCACAAACAGACGCCAGATGCAACTCGCTGAATAAAGAATGCTGGAAGAAGATAATTCTATTGAAGATTACGAGCTGGGAGTCTTCGCTCATCGAGACGTCCTTGATATCACCCTGATGGCCTCTCAGTTCCGCCATTAATTCTGTGCGAATTTTTTGCTGGGGTTGTTGCTGCTCGCCACCCCCTGCCTCGGTGCTCTGGGGATCCTCGTTAAAAACCCTCCATACGCTGCTCCGTCACAGAGCGCCACAGCAAAACATCTGTGCAGTCATCAGCCTTTGAAAGGTGCCTTGCCTTCGCTTCCTCGCCATGGGGTAGCATCCACACATGCAAGTTTCGCTGCAGCAGAGATTTCGCCTCTCCCCTTCTTCCCCTCCACCCCAGCCACGCGCCATTCGCTCAACCCCAGACTTCTTACTGCTCCCTTTGCACGCTTGGAAGAAAGACGCACAGGACTCCACAACAACCGAATGCTGCAATCTTACCGGATGATTCTATCTTCGCCTCCAGCGACAACATACTCGCCCGTTGGGGAGAACCTGGCAACAATCTGCGGCACAGAATTTAGCGCAGCGTGAAGCTTTGGGCTATGTGTATTTTTCAAAGAGAGAAAGAGAGATACCACTTTTCTCTCTGCGGACACCTCCTTAAATACTTACGCCCCCACCCACGTGTGAACCTGTGCCTTGAACTTCTGAAACCCCTTTTCTTCCTTTGTGCAGTTTTCTGTCGCTACCTCCTACTGTGCAAGAGCGTCACTTCGTTGGTGCTTTGCCTCCGGAAGGCTGGATAATGAACTGTCCGCTTACGAGTCGTTTGGATGCCGTTTCTGCTCCAAATCTGTGCACCACCTTCAGCCTGCGGATTCACAGGCTTGAGTGTGTGCATGCAAGTGCATGTGCATGTATGTGCATGTATGTGCATGTGCATGTGCATGTGCATGTATGAGTATATGCAGGTTCATGTATTGGTATCTGTGTTTGCTTGTGTGTGCGTGTGAATGCACAGAAGGAGCCTAAAACCTTGAGTCTGCCAGGGCTGGCCGCTGTTTACATCTGTTTGAGGTCATAAAAACGAGCTTCTTGCTTCTCGGACAGATTTAGAAGCTGCAACGCTCAGAGAGAGGGGTCACCAGAGCGCTGCAGACTTGTACGCTGCGCCAGGAACCTGCTTAGGCGCAAAGCTTACCCCAGGTTTGTATCCGCCTTTATGAGAACGCACTCTTTGTCACTGCAGCCGCAAAAGAGGCTGGCCTGCGCATTGCGTTAAAAGATGCAATAACGAAGAGAGCAGCTGTTGGCTGTACTTGTCCTACGGCTCCCATACTTCCCCTCTCTACGCTTTCACTATGTGCTTGTGTGTGTTGGCCTCTCTCATCCTCTACCGCTTCTCACGAGCGCCCTGGCATACTGCAGAGGAAGCGACATCTACAGTCGAGACGCCAGAGACACCTCATTCCTTGAGGCTCACGTGCTTGTTGTGGTTTAGAGAGTCGATGACGCCTCCAGACGCCACCGAATCAAAGGTAACTAACTTCTTGGTCTCCGCACTGTATCTGTGCAGCTCCTGCGGCAAAGAACACACGCAGAGCTTGAGTAACATGTGCGTCTGCTGAAGGACGAAATGCATGGTGTATAGCATTTGAAGTGAGAGAAACATATAGAACACCGGGCAGATTATGCGGTACAGCGCTTACACATGGAGGGGAGAAGAAACCTTGCACAAGCCGAGAGAGGGAGTCATACATTATAAAGATTGATCGATCATTTATTTTGTTTGGCATGCATTGTACATATTATATATATGTATATACTTAGAGTATTATTGAAGCATAATAATTCAAGGAACAAGAGATGAAACGTGGAGCTTGCATTTGCTCCTCCGCTTGTCCCCCTAGCTCCCGCCATTCTGTTTTCATACTCCCGCTCTCCCGGTGTATTTGTATTTCGCCCCATTTTTGCCTCTCTCGAATTAATAAGGAACGCTTGGTCGTGGTCTCAGTGCTAGTAGGCGTGCAGGTGCCTTAGGATCCACGCCTTAGGGTTTGACAGACAGACGGACCAGCTGATCCTCGATTCCATAGTCTTTGCCTCCGCCTCCGCCCGAGGTGATGATGAAGTTTCCGTCGCTGGCCGCCTATAAAAAGAGCAAAAGGTGGCATGGGAGGGCTGAAAGAGAGCCTAAAGAGAGAGGGAGGGAGAAAAAAAGGAGGTGTACTACAGGGACAAGCCGGGGAACCGGAAATCGAAGTGGGAAGCGGGGGGAGCAGAACAGAACGAGGGGGGCATTAGGCACCGCATGGAGGACTTATGGGAGCAGAAATGCAAAGGCCAGGGAAGAGAATAAAGTGACAAGAAGAACAAACCGAATAAATTGGGTAGTCGAGGTATGACACGGCCGGCTTGGTCATCTTGAAAAGCAACGCGCAGAGCCGAGGAACGAACAGGAGGAAGACGGCACTCCTTCTTGATCGGTTTGCTTTGTTTCTGGACCTCTCTCTCTTCTTATGAACCACGGAATGAAACGAGAAAGCAACCGAGCTGCACACGGTGAGCACTTCTGCATGTGTAGCCGGAGAGAAAGTGGGCAACCGCGGTAAATATCTCGCTCCGATGTGTCCCTTCAAGCGCCAAATAAAGTAACACCATCACAAATGAGGCATATATTGGCGAAACGATGGAAAACGCGCTATTCAATTCCACAGAGGCTGCCAGGGCTGGATTTTGTCTTTCACACGATCCTCAGGGCCCCGTGGTGCGGCGGCAGCCGTAGCAGTGCTGCCTGTTCTTTCCAAACAGTTTACCCAGGAGTGAAAGCTGACGAGCCTGGGTTTAAAAGTAGCAGTAATAATAGCTCTGTGCCTTCGACAGCTATGCTTTTTTGTCGGGGTCTACATGGAACGAGTTGTGTCTTCCACGACGCCGCCAGGTGACCTTCGAATTCCAATGAAATAACTTGATAGTCACGAAAAGGTAACATGCTCTCCATCGCGGCCCCTGCAGGGTGATCTGGAAGATATGGGGTGAAGATGGAGCCACCAGAGGGTCTGCCTCTGGCTGAGCAAATAACGGAAGTCAAGCGAAAGCTCCGACTCGTATCACAGGAGGCGAAGGCCTTTGGGGACTCGGCACAGATTCAAATAAGAAAACAACGGTCGGCTATTGAGAAGCTTAAGGCAGAAAATGCAGCAATTAAGGATGAGCTACAGCTGACAAGAGAGGCACTCTCTCAGCAGCAAAATACGCTTTTAGGTACTCGCATGCAGAGTTTAAACGAGCAGTGTCAGGACTTGTTACACGAGATAGCTGAGGAGAAGAAGGAAGAGCACCATTTAGCCGAGAACATCCAAATTATGGAAGGCAGAGTCAAGAAGTGTAGGGAAGTGATCGGGTCGTTCGGTGGGGTGTATGCGGCGGAAGTCACCAGTGAAGCAATAGAGAAACAAACCCACATTCTAGAAAATAGATTAGACAAGGCGCTGCAAAAGCACAGCCAGGCAGTGGCTCACAACAGGAAACTTAAGGACGAAATAAACTGTTTAAGAAGGGAAAGAGTGACTTTTAGTCACCTTTACAAAAAGGCAGAGAACGATTTGATTGCACACAAAAAGGCTGTTCTAGATCTCATCAAAGAGGCTAACCAGGCCTATACGGAGCGAGAGGAGGCGCAGAAATCGATCGCCACACTTAAAGCAGATGCAGCAAAAGAGAGGAAAAGCTTTGAAACCGAATGGGCACATCTGCAGCAGTTCCTCGAAGGACTGCAAATGAGACAATGGAACACGCAGCAGGCAAAGCGCGTGGCTGACCTTAAGGCCAGAAGGGAAGCTGACTGTGAACATGAGGCCCAGCGTAAGGAAGGGTGTTGGGGGAGTAACGAAGATATTACCAGTTTGTGCGATACAACAAAGGTGAGAAGCTACCAAGCAGCATTTGCCAAGATTCAGGCTGCAACAGGGATTTCAAGTGTTGAGCAGCTCATTGAAGCACTTAGAGTGGCAGAAGAGCACAACTTTTCACTTTTCTGTTACGTAAATTCTCTGAGCGATGAAGTCGAGGCCCATGAGGCAGCAATACACGACCTGCGCACCTCACTGAAGAGCTGCACAGATTTACAGCAGGCGGAATCCAGGAAGAAAACCGAAGAAGTTAGAGAGTGGGAAGGACAGTGGCATGCAATACAAGAGAAAGTCAAATCCATGGAGGCTCAAAACAAAAGTGCAACAGAACAGCTGAAGGATATTATGCAGAAAACTAGGGTCATGTTTGAAATTGTGGGGGCAGGCAAGAGGCATAAGGAAGAACTCTGGGCCACAGAGGAAGTCGCCGAAGTGACTATCACAAATTATCTGCAAGCAGTAGAAGAAGCTGTTGAAGATATGTTGGAGCGCCTATTGTGCCCGGCACAGTCCACGGAAATAGCGGTAGCAGCAGCCAGCCAAAAGCAGCAGAAAATAAGTACACGGGGGCAACCGAAAACAAATGCTGGTCATGCAAAGCAAACTCAGCAAATTAAAGTACCATCAGCCATAAACAGAACAAGTAGCTTAGACACTTCAGAAGAAGAGGACGGTGAAACACGTCCCTTGTCTAGGGAGGAGCTAAAGCGAAAACTCCAAATTAGCAAAGCAAGAAAGAGTGAACGAGAAAAAAACAAACAGAAGAAGCAGACAAGCAAATGAACGCAAAGCTGCAATTTGCCCCTTAATCCTTTAGAACAATCGTTGAGAGAGCATTCAGATATTGTAACACTGTGTCAAACGCGAAACGCAAAGAAAAGAACAAGCAGCACTTTGCTTATTGCTTGGGCGCCTAATCCCTCCTTTTTCTGGATGTAAAAGCTTATATACCTGCACCTACCGTATGACAGCAGCAACGCGATAGTGCAGTAAAAACCCCCAGACTGCATTTAAAGAGACAGACAGACCGTAGTTCCTTCATTTTCAGGTTATCAGTGTAATTCGCATCGTATGTTTGCCTTTGTACAAACCCTGAACTACATAATATATGGAAGGATGCAAGTTCGAGAGAGAATGAAGTTTAAGTGACTGGGTAAGGCTCTAAGGGCGGCAAGAAACAAAGAACTGTGTCCTATACGAATGTATACGGGACTAACGGCTGTGTGAGTGGCTCGTCACTGAAGCTGTGGGACAATTGAATCCTGGAAACCGATCTTTGTGTGCTGCTCGGCGGTTTTCGCACTCTTCATTTGTGTGTATTCTGCATTGTGGATGGCCACCTCGGATTAGAAGACTGACCGAAAATGCATGTGAGAAATTGTACAGTCGGATATGCTTTGAGCTCATGCCAGAGAGATTTTCATGTAGAGCGTTGGAGCTCTCTGCTTACTTCATTGAACTTCTCGCAGTGTCTGATCACTGGAATGCTAGCTATGGATGCGTTTACCGTTTCAAAAGTCGCTTGCTGTGCTAGGGCATCAATTAAATATCTCCCTAAAAAGCAATTTCTTGCATCCTTTTTTCCATGTTTTGGCTCTCTGTCCAATGGCTCCACATGAAAATGAGCCAGGTAATTTTGTTCTTTCCTCTTGTGCATACTTTCCTTCCTTCTAACTGTCTCCACAATTGTTCCCGTCTCTTCTTTCGCCTGATCTCTACTTTTGTGTGTTGCTACGTTTAGTTTTCTTTAATGTTCTTTTTGCACATATTTTTTCTCTGCTCCAAACTAGCGCTTGGTTTAGGTGTGGCTACATTGTTGGAGGACCACATTCTTGCAATTCTTTCTTGGATTTGCAATACAAAGAGCGAGCTGCCTTCAACTGGCAACAAAAATACGATGAAGCAGATCTCTGCGATGAAGTTTGAACGGATGACGAAAAGTATGCACTTTGTACCCATCTCACTACCCTCCTGCTCTTTTCGTTGTTCTCTCTCCAAATTCACGCGTTGCGATGTCCTTCTTTCCACTTCGTATCATCCCGTATGCTGAACTTAGTGCATGGTACTACCTGCAGTCGTATCCCTGATGGGTCAACTGCATACTCTGGCAATAAAGGTGTGTTCGATGCTGATTTTTCCTCCTATCGAAGGGACGCACCAAGTGTATATGTACAATTACTTCAAAACCATGTAGAAAAGGACGGCTACCCAGCGAGAGTTGTATTACAGAGCGCCCGACATATTTTCGAATCAACAGCAAGTCAATGTCCTCCTACAGGTCAGTTTTCCTCAGTGTTGACTTGGGCTACATCACTCCTTCTTCGGCTGTTCCCATCATTACTCCATTACCTTGTGGTTCACTATCTCTCGCTGTCCTTTGCGGCTCACTTTTCAACCCCTGAGTCTCTTAAAACCGACGAAAATATTTATGACTCTTAGGATATCGTCGCCCTTCTGGAGATTTCCCGTGCTTCCCTCTCGGTCTTCGCCTCAGAAAGAGGTAACAAAACGCACGAAGCTTGCTCCTCCCTCCCTTTTCACCGCCTTTCCCTTTCTGTTCACTTCTCTTGTGTAAATGTCCCCTCTCCTCTTCGCCCTTCGGTCGTTTTCCCCTTTTCCGCCCCCTTCGCCTTTCTTAACCTTTTAATCGAATGGAAGCCAACAACCTAGCAATGAAGACTTCTTCGAGTGCAGGTTCTGTAGCTGGTCTTTTGAGCTTCAGACACCGCGGACACACGCTCTCGTGCAGCTCCGGTAATATTCTGTGTTCTTTGTCTAGCCTATCCCTGACTTACAGTGGGCTTCTTTGGTGTGCTGACGAGCGGCCCCCCATAGCACGTTAAAGGATCACGTGAAAGATATCTGCAAACCGTTTCATGCACAAGGACACATCGACGATCACGTTATACTCCCATCGTTACGCATTTTAGGCTCTGGCGTAATGATCTCTGAGTCCTTGTTGGAAGCGGACGAGTTGCACAGTAGTGCCAGGTACATCATTGTTGTCGAAAAGGACACAATTTTCCAGTCGCTTTGTGCAGTGGAATTCTGGAATGTGAGTCCTCTATGTCCCAAACCAGCGAACTAGCCCCTAAACGCTAGTTTTAAAGCCACAATTCCATTCCCTCTGTATCCTCCATCGCATAAGTTCCTTCAGCTTTTGCCTTGCATCCTGATTACCGGTAAAGGTTTCCCCGATTTCGCGACACGAAAGTTGCTTATTCACTTAGCGCATAAGCTCAATTTGGAGGTGAGGAATAGTAATGAAATATGCGTCCTAGCCGCTTCCCGCTTCATTTCTTGTTTTCTGCGGGTTTTCCATTCAACATAAGGCTGGCTACGTTGGGGACTATGACCCTCACGGTGTCCAGATATTTTTGACATATCAGCATGGGAGTAAAAGCTTTGAAGGGCGGCTGCTCTCTCTACCCTCTCTCCATTGGATCGGGATGCTGTACCGAGACACGGAGTTACTACCTCCTACTGCTTTGCTGCAATTAGGGCAGCGAGACACGGCGCTATTACAGAGTCTCTTGTCCCACCCAGGAGTCTTAGCGAATAAACGCTTACGGGAGGAGTGTGAGAGCATGAAGAAAGGGGGGAGGAAATGCGAAGTTGAAGCCCTGGAATGGAAAGGGCCAGACTATATTGGCAGACACTTTGTAGCCTCAAGAATTCTCAGGCGGGAGTGGATCTAAGGAGCGAATGGAATACGAAGTGTGAAACGAAATAAGAAAGAGAACAGGACGAGATGGCACAGAAATCGTGAAGTACGAACGGAATGGCATTGGGCTCTCCACACAGTTGGCGGAGTGCGTCCGGCATATTACTTACAATCCAGAACTGACCGAGAAGGTATTCCAACAAGACACCATAAAAGACACGGAAAGCAACAACCTCTCACAATGTTCGCCCCTCGAGGGCACGCTGCTGCCTCTCTGTCTCTGCCTAACACAGTCTGAGATGAGACACATATTCGTCTGTCAATCATATCATGCGTCCATAAACACTCCTAATGAAGCGCAGGAATAAAAAGAGGAAGGGGTGACAGAAATAACCATAGTAACACTTCAGTGCCTCAGGCTAACAGCAGGCATTCGTTTGGCTGCACCAAACAACAATGGGTGGGCGGTAACAGGTGGCGGTTGCGCGAAGAGACGAGCACGGCGCGAGCTGATGATATTGAAGCCCTTAGACCCAAAGCGGCACTCAACTGACAGCCATAAGCACTAAGTTGCGCCGCAATAAACACAAATAAGCAAGACAAAGGAAATCATAGCTTGAACAACAAAGGCAGAAGTCATCTGCTTACTCAGCAGCTGCCTGGTACACGATGTGAATGACATAAGGCACGAAACTACCAAAATAGCACGGCGATCAACACTGTTAAGACAGAAAAAAGCAAACGATAGCTCTATCCGGTTCCTTTATGAAGCCCCTTGCTAGTGCTGACGTAGTGCTCCCATTCCAGGTTTCCAGTTGAGGTGTACACATTCGGAAAGTGATGATTCTTACAATTAAACTTTTCAAAGCTTTCCGTCATGTTGATACTCGCCTTCTCTACGACTGCCCGCGGGGAGGCAACACACGAGGCTTCATCTTCCTCCTCGTCCTCGGTTTCCTTCTGCTCGGTTTCAACGCTGCTAACCTTTCGATAGATTTGAGCGCACGGCTCTACAGGGGAAGACGGAGACGCGATACAAGGAGGAGCGACGTGGGCGTGAGGCCGCGATTTGTCCTCCCTACCGTTGTCTTCCATTGTTGCGGTTATAACGCGCTCCGTCTCCTCTTCATGATAGAGGGAAGCAGTGCTAGACTGTCTGCTCAGATCAACTGGGGTAAATATGTGGAAGGTCCTTGCGGTATCGCCTCCCTCTCCTCTTTCCTCTTCTCGCTGTCCTCTTCGCTGGTGCAAGTGCAACTGCAGCTGCTCCTGATATTTTCTGCTGCATAGAGCTGCATCCAGGTTGTGGCAGATCCACCCCAGGAGCTGCCTGTTGCCAGCGTTCTCTCTTTTGATATCATGCAACATGCTCTGAATCCACGATAAGTCCGGGCCAATGTCTTTACTCATGAGAACCGCCTCACTCATGCCGAAAGAAGCAGGAGAGGGCTGCGAAGGCACCTGCTGGTGCAAGGGCACCTCAGAAAGCGTATTTTCTCGAATTGTTTCCTCCTTCAGCGAGCCCCCATGGCCCGACTGCCTGTGCTGCTTACCTTTTACCCTGCGTAATTCATCCGCGCTGCGGGAGCGCCTGTTGCTTCCCAAGTATACAGCGAGTTCCGGTTCTGCCCCCTCGGTCAGCATCAGCGACTTGTCTGCTGCTGATATCCAAGTGCCAGGAGAGGAACGCAATACGGACTCGAAAGACGAAAAGGACCCACTTTCTGCAAGTAGTCACAGTGGCAGTGCGTATGTACCGGAGAACAGCATGCATTTTGGGCAGTGCACTCCAAAAGGAAAAACAACCAATTTTGAAAACGCAGAAAACTTGCACAATCCAGAGATGCAAGACTCGGATTGAATTTGTCTGCACGTTTCATAGCACGACATATAGATATGCAAAGGACACAAAAAGAAGCAGCTTCTGCTGGTTTTTATACTCCTCATGCAGGGTGGACGTCTGAACACCAGGTGGTAAGAGAGTGCTACCCGCTGCCACTGTAGCACTCGTAACAGAGCGATGGGGAGCACCCTTTGCTGCGCTGCTCATCGCTCTCACATCCTCCTACTGCTCCTGAGAGAGCCTTATGCTATGCTGAGATCCCTCTGCCTACACCCCGATCTTTCTCCTGCACCTCTCTGCTTCCCTGCCTACGCACTTCCCAGCCCCCTACTCGCTCCCTCAGTCTGCTTTGTTTCTCCGTGTATTGCAAAAGCTCGAAATGCAGAGGGCACCTCTACAGGGGTTGCACACTGCGAAGAGCATCCGCTGCACGGGAGAGAAGAGCCTCACGCCACGAGCACCTGAAAAACTGAGTCCGATTGCTCCTCCGTCTCACCGTATCGGGTGTGCTTGGCATTAGTAAGCAGCTTTTCCATGGTTTCCTGAAGTTTTTGCGTCGCTTTTGTCATGGAGGCAGCGACTGTTTCTTCAGCAATTTGACTGATTTTTTTAGCGAGTAGGCTTTCCATATGCTGAAATAAGGCAGCTTGCAGCTGCTCTTGTGCCTTGAAGCTTGCTTCACGGACTGCAGTGGTGACTGCCTCTGAGGTGGTCGCTGCTGTACTGGCTGCAGCGGCAGACGCAACCCGCGTTGTCAACGCCTCGCAGCGCTCCGTATCACCAGTTCCCATCTGAGGGAAACACAGAACCTACTCCACTCGCCACGATCCCGTGGAGCAGCGCCCCTTTTATTCTGTCGCACTGCTCTCGTGCACTGCGTGTGTTGCTTTTCGCGTTTTGTGGTAAGGTGGACCCCCTCTCCCTGACCTGTGTCGTCAGGGGTGCGTACATGCACGGGTGGGAAAAGCCGTAACAACTAGACGGCAACTTATTCTCAGGCCTGCCACTCGCTATTCTACTGAAGGCAACGCTTACCAGCAACTGCCGCAGCAGCTCGCCGTGACTGTCCTCTAGCGTGTGCCTCAGGTCGCCGACCTGCACCGCAAAAACAGAAACGGCAGATCAGCACGCGACAGTGAAGCCGTTGAAAGCTAACACGAAAATATGCGTCTCTGCATACGCGCGTCGAGAGACAGATACTTTCTGTTCGGGTTGGCTGGCACAAGGACATGCAGAATATGTAAAACACATGCATCGATATATATATATGTATATATGTACATATGCCCACATATATATATATATATATACTTGCACGATGCATATGAACCTGGCAGGAAGCTCCCCCAATGACTAATGCGCATAGCCCCCCCGCCCATCTGCGCAAACGCCACGGTATAAAGGTACATAGAAGCTGTCATCCGCCACCTTGCCTGAAGGGCATTGTTCTTGCACAGCTTCTCAATGGCTTTGAGTATCTTGAGGAGAACTGCTGCTTCTTGGCTGCTTTCGGAAGGCACCTGCAGCGTTCATTGAGGCAGGACGAGCGCGAAAGAAGTTAGACAGCTCCTAATTCGCAGGTTTTCACGCCTCTCGATAAAAGTGCGCCTCGCCTCCTGTGTTGAGGTGTCTCTGCCCTAGGGGCCAGTGCAACTCCAAAACTAGCTGAGATTTTCATCTATGTGCTCAAACAAAAGAAGGCGCAGAACAGAAGACTGTTCCTCTTCCACGCCAGCGCCGAGAAAGCGCAAAAAATGGCAGCACGCATCACCGCAGTGCCTGAAGGCTCCCTCGCTCGATCTGAGAGAGAGAGGCTGCTGCTTACCGGCAAATGCAGCTTGAGCGGCCGGTCTTGCGACGCCGAGGATGCATGCGGTGAGGAAGAACACACGCTGCTGTCTGTCCTCATCCATGAGTCGTGCTCGCTGCTGGGAGAGGTATACGCGGTGTTGCTGCTGTGGCTGCTGGGGGATCGAGTCTTAAGAAAACTGGCTGGAGAGGCACAGGGGGCAGCCAAAGGCTGCGGCGTGGAGCTCATGGTGAGGGGAGGAAAGTCGCACTGACCTGCGGCCGTAAATGTTGATCACACATACACTCATGCAAATACACATATGTGCACATAGATACATTCGTGATACACGTGTATATATACATGAACAAATGCGCAAATGCACACATAAACACATACAGAAATACAGAAATACACACACATACACACATATACATACACAAATACTCACAAAAAACATACACACATATACATACACAAATACACAAATACATACATACACATCCATACACAGCACGAAGGGTGACAAAGTGCCTCATGCTAATGCCGGGAGCGCGAAGCAGCAAATGCAGACCGCCGCGGACGGCTAGCGAGGTGGCGCTCGCTCTAAGAAACAGCCTTTATAGCTCGCGAATCAAGGTTGAGAAAGCCCCCATGTTAGAAAGGCATATGTGAAGCAAAAAACAGCCGGAGACGGCAGTCGGTCCAAACACCCGCAGGTGCACAAAAAGCAGCAGACTACAGTGGCAGTTGTCTGCTCAGGTGATGTAGTTACAGAGAGCGAGTGTGCATATACCGAATTTATCGAAAAGGTCGTGGCTGCCTCGGCAGAGTCTGGCGATTCGGTTCCCAGAGTCATCGTGCCCGGCAATACATTCCCATCTGCATGGGCTGTTGCTTGCGCTGCTGCAGCAACGACAGGGTGCTTGCTCCGGAGGCTGCGCTTTCGAAAGCACGTTGCTGGGGGGGTTGCACTTGCACAGGGGAACAATGACGTATTTGTACTTTATTGCAAGCCCTGCTGGGAGCGGCACTGGAGGCGACACCCACAAGGGGAAGGTTCCCTTAGATGTGCTGAGACGGATGCGAAGCGGCAGCTGCCACTCTCCTAGAGAAGAAGCGCTGCCAAGGACGCACAACTCTTCTCCTGCAGCATCAGGAGACGGAGTGTGAGGAAGCGAACTGCACTCACCCGATGGAGGGGAGAGAAGGAAGGGGGCTGGGAGGGGGACAGGGGAGGCAGACGGAGGCTGAAGGGGCAAAGAAAAAGGGTTGAAAGCATCAGAAAGGGGGGTGGAGGGGAGGGTGTTGGAGGGGAGGGTGTTGGGGGTAATTTGGGAGGAGTAGTGGCGTCGCAGGTGTATGGACAGGGCATGGCGCGAACAGCCAACCGCCACAGGGGTCTGTGGATTTGGAGTGTAGGGTTTGCATACCGATTGAAGTATTTTCGCATATACAGTGGAAAGTGACGTAGCAAGATCTGCAGGCCGACGCCATTGCAGCTGAGAGGGGGGTGATAAGGCCCCCGTGTACAAATTTCACAGCCAGCGCTTGCTGCAGGAAAACAGTTTAGGCTGCGGCGTTGCACCGGAGCAGCAGCGTTCATCCGTTAAGCGGAGCTGAGACTTTCACCAGAAGAAGCAAGCCTGCAGAAGGGGGAGGAAGGGTGGCTAGAAGGAGGAAGGCAGGGAGTTCTGCTGCATTCTTTCAACCACCCGTCGGTGTGCGCGTAGCGGGGTGAATGACAAAGCCCCGAAAGGCGCTTGACGGAGGGTGGGAGTGTGTGTAACCCGTCAAAACAAAACGGAGCGCGAGGCGATGCATCAGAAGTCGCCGATCGGTCCTTAAACCACCCTGAATTGCTGCCATGCGCGTGGCGTGCGGCCACCGGGAATCCCGAGGGCGTGCAACTCTTTCAGGATGCGCACTGAGAAATGGACTGAGGAGGATTAAGAAGAACAAACGGGTGCGTGAAGATGCCTTCAATGAGGCAGAGAGGGCGCAGTATATGCACGAGCGTTCGCGCCGTGCGTGTGACCGCCGCCGTTCTGAATGATGCAGGCCTACGGGTTTGGGATTTGAGTTTTGGGATCTAAATGCTGAAGTCACTCTAAAAGAAAGGAAATATGATGAAACTACCAAAAATAAATGCTAAAAGGAGAATTTCAGCATTCAAAAGGAACAACGAGAAACTGGGCGCCACAGCCGATATGGCAGCTGCAGCAGCTGCTGTAGCTCTCTCTCGGAAGTGTGAAGCGAACGAAGCATGCGTTCAACTTCCTATCGTGATGATTCGGGCTTTACTCGGTGATTTCTACCACCTCCGTCTCAGATCCACCAAAACAAGCTGTTTCCAGCTGTGTAAATGGGCGCTGTAGCTCTCGCCAGTACAAGAGGGCACGAATAGCCGCCGCGGCCGACAAACAGCCCCGACAAAGTTTCTTCTTCATGCGCAGTCTCATACGCTTCCTTCTGGTCAGATTCTTGTCGTGGAAGTTGACAAAAGGTGTCCCTATGAGCGATCAGGGACGGCGGTTGTCATGATGGGCTGCAGGTGTCGATTGAGAGGCACACCCCGGCGTTCTCTGAGCACAATAAAGGCAAACAGCCCTCTCAGGCTGAGTAGAAGGAAGCGCTGTAAGCGTGAACACTATGTTTGTGGCCTTTAAGCCTTTGCTACGCACCGTCGGGCGAGACAAGCATGGCGTTGTGCTGCATTCCTGCCAGCAAGCAAGCGATGGAAAGAGCCAGAAGTTGAAGATATGTGGCCTCCACTGCGACTAACAGATGTATGCAAAAAGCAACAAACACTCGAGCAAGCATGAGGCCATACCGCTGTGGAATTGTAATCGAAAATATTGGAAATAAAAGCCGATAGAGGGACCTTCACGCTTGATGAAGCTCAGGCTGAGGTGTACTCAAACACATTCTGCTAAACTGATTATGATTCGCCCTAAGAGTAAGTAAGGGGCTAAATAGCTGGCTTATTTCTACGTATGTCCTGTATATAGCAAAGTTTTGCTAGCTCGACACACGAAGACATTTTTAGAGGCGTGCGCGGTATGTGCGATGTGCAAGTGGGTATGAACTCTTGGACTGCTTAGGGGGTGCAGCTACGCTCATCCTAGCGGTCACTCCCCCATCGTAGAGCGACTACATAGGGACGCGGGCAGAGCAAGTAAGGAGCTATCTTGGAATTTGCTCAATAAATTTTGAAAGATATTGTTGACATTAAATGCACAGTCAAGCGTCTTCCTGAGAAGACCTCAGATGTACCGGTATGATTGTACTGATAGACAGTGTGGCGCTTCACCTAGGATATCCAAAAAAGCCACGTTGTAAACCCGACTCACCTACACAGCTTACTAGAGATCCCTGAGGTATCGTTCCAAATGAACGCCTTCTTCTCCGTTCCTTTTCCCCTCGGGGGTTCTGCGTGAGCGGACACGAATAGACGGCTCTGCTTCGTATTCTTGACTCTCTTAGCATGTTCATCCAGTTTCATGTACCGGGGAGCGTACAGGACTCGCATGACTGATTCTCACAACATTGGGCATGTTCTATGCTGCAACAAAAACAAATATCTAAAAACAGGCAAACCAAAACTTGAATTCCTTACCATCTCTTATATACATAAATCTAGTGCACTAGAAGGCTTTAACATGCACCCTAGCCCATTAGATCTAGCAATCGATGTTGACCCCAAGTGAAGGAAAGTTTCAGCCTGGCCACATCCGGTAACAGCTGTTACAACTGATTCTGCGAACACGAAATAGTAGGGAATGGCTCCAACTACAAGGACTAGTAGTGCTCTGCGGATTAACTCCAATGAGACTGTGTGCTTTCAGCGGTTTAACCTGCTGTGCGCAGGGGCAGCGATTCCTCGCAACAGGAACTTGCCTTTGCACAAATTTCCCAATTAAGTAGTATTAGATGAGTTATTTTCTTTGCAATTACACTTTAATACGACTTGCGCCGGTTGCATGCACAGTCGGTTCGCTAGGAGTCAAGAAATGCGCTTGACTCGGCTGGCAGCTATTCCTCGATGTGCGTTGCACTCGTTTTCAATAAAGTGCCCAAGGTGGCTCATCTCCTGTCTACAGTTAAAAGGTGTGCCTGATAAAAAGAGAAGGAGACTTTTCATGCTCCCTTCATGCATGGGTCTATATGCATGGAGTCTACATCCAGCTGCTTCAGAATGCCCACTAGAGTTGGCTTCTCTGCGACGAGCGGCACATCCAAATAGCGAACAAAAGCCTATGTGCTCAAAGTGTTTAAGCCACAGCTCCAATAAACACCACAGCACGCTCACAGGCCAACCAGATAGCAGTAGAATGAAAATGTAGGCAAAATCATAGCATGCAATGAGGCCCATATATGCACACACACACATGCACATGCACACAAACATACACATACGCAGAATGCAGACATAAAAGCGAAAGGAAGTTTGAAAGAGAGAAAGACACCAAGAGTTCGGAAATCGCCACTACACAGGCACGAGTCGGCAGATTTTGGAGTCCTCGATCACCAAGTACAAACTCCTGCTGTAGATCCTTTGGCGTATCCTAGGGGGCATCCTGCACGTAGCGCACAAGGCGTCATTAAGGAATGAAATACCGCTCTAATACGGGTGTGAAAACGACTGTTAATGGGAAAAGTAGCGGTGCATGCATAGGCGTAGGAGTGCTTACGCTGCTGAAGAGGTTGGCGGATGAATGACACAGGAGTTATCGGGCTCGTTCTCCAGCCTCCTGAGCTGCTGCAGCCCCATATACTGCTGCGAATACACTTGCTGCCCCCAGCTCCCACTTGGAAACACACATCCCTCGGAATTGTTCATGCAAAAGCCTTATTTCCGCTAACATGCCCAGTGGCAGTGTGACGACTAGCTTTGCTACATGTTGAACACGCCTCCTGCTTTCGTTCCATCTCTCTGCAAGGCCTGAATCTCTTAAAACTGGTCGGTAAAACTGCCTATTCACGTTATGTTCCAAAATCGAACAAGCCCAAGCTGCACAGCCAAGGCAACAGCGCGCCAGGATGCTGCATTGATGTACAATCTGTTACCCCCTTCAGCTGCCGCACTTTGTCACGCTGCTGCAGAGGCGAAAGCCCCATGCAGCTTCCCACCCAGCAAGCCGTCAACAGCTCCACATAGCTGGCCGTCGACGCGGATCCGCCTAGCTAGCTATCAACAGCGCCACACCCAGCTAGCCGTAAATGGCTCCACATAGCTAGCTCTCTCCATATCGTCAGGAGGCATCCTCCATCAGTAGTCGGCATCAAAGTACGCATCTTGAAGGTCTCTATTGGCCTGCAGACACCCGAGATCCCCGTGTGTGACTGATCGGTCAGTAGGTGCTGAGAAGCTACAAGCTCGCTGGCTCTTTGGTTGCACTACCAGCTTCAAGCCACCGCAGTCGTTCCCGTTACGTGTGAACGAACTGAGCCAGCCGTTGAGCGCAAGGCGATCGACTCCGAAGCCCCCGCTCTCCTCAGCAGCAGCGCCAACACCAGCAAAAGCAGCAGCATATCATCGAAAGGCAGCAGGGTCAGTCGTGCCTCATTGACGTCATCCAGAGTATCGTCAGCATCGATGGCAGCGTAGTCAACTCCTGGGAAGTCGCCCGACAAGAAGCGGAGCCGCATCGCCTCAAGGAACTCCTGCAGCAGTCACCAGCGATGCCAGCGCTTATGGGCTCGCTCTCGTGGCGTTTTACAGACGCGGAGGTGTCACCTGCTTCGAGGCAGCGTTTCTCTCTGCGCCTCTATTGCCGCTACCTCGGCGCACTCCTGTGTGTGGAGCTCGACTGCCTTGTTACTGAAACTGCTTCCTTTAAGCCCGTCAGAGCCAGACTAGGGGTTCCTCTACCGAACAAATGCCACTCAAGCACCAGCACATGCATCTAGCCAAGGCAGAAGCACGACATGAAAAATTGGGAGACTTCCAAGACAGCTCCCCAGACGCAGGCACTCACCCTTCGTTTGTCCTCAAACTCCGCAGGAGAGACTTCAGTCGCTTCCTCCTCCCCATCTTCCGAGAATGTTGATTGCAGGTCGTGTTTTTGCTGCTGCTCCATCTGCAGCCGCGCTGTAGCGACGCCGCGATCAAACGGCCTACAAGGGGCCAACTCATGGAGAAGCTGCGAGACAGGTGGCTCCTGCCGTCGCTCTTCATCTTCCTCTGTTGACTCGGCGCCTTCTGGCTGCTGCTTCTGCCCTTCTAGCTGCACGTCTTCCCGCTTCTCGTCGAAAGTGCTGTCTGATGGTGCTAGAGCTGCGAAATCTAGAGAATCTTCCGGCTGCTGCTGCGAGCGCTGCTGTTGTCGCTGCTGCTGCTGCAGACGCCTGAGCTCGCCATAAAAGCTATCTTCTTGCGCCTTCCACACTTGCTTTTGCTTTGTAAGTCGCTCTTCTTCTTCTTCTATGTCATAGGCTCTGTCGAGCATTGTGCTGTACAACACTCCCCTCCGACCGCTACAATTGCTGCTGCTACAATTGCTGCTCATTGCTATGGAGCGCTGCGCTGCAGCAGGCACGAGAGCAGCAGCCCCCACAGAAGCCGCGGAGACTTTTTCCGCGGCGGCGGCTGCTTCTGCAGCGGCTGCCTCAGCTACAGAGGCAGCTGCTGCTGCTGTGATCTCATCATCATCGTCTGCTGCACTCCGTGCAGCGGCAGCAGTGGCAGCCTCCTTTGCGTCTGCTGTCGCCGCAGCTACTTCTGCTGCACTAGGAGGCTTCGCGGCGAGGGAAAAGTTGCACTCGAACCGGCCGACAATTTCCTGGTAGAGCGCAGGCTGCAGCAATTGCATCCACAGAAGCAGCAGCAATCATGGCGTAAACGTCACAGGAAGGGGTACCAGAACAACTGCAGCAGCTTTTGCTGTTGTCAATCCGCATGCCGCAACAAAAAGGTATCAGGCTGCAGGAAAAGCAATTCGCAAGAAAAGGCAGCAGGCACTGAAGGTGGAGGCGCTACTAGCGTGTCTCTGCGCTGGGGCGGCTTCATCCTCTTATGACCTCAATATGCTTCAAAGTTTCTTCGGAAAAAAAGACACCCTCTTCTTCCAGCTGCCGCATGCGCTGCAGCCTCCGGTTCTGCCTGAGCTGTACAGACACCGCAGCAGCAATTGCAGCACCAGCACCGCCAACGGCAGCAACGGTATAATGCGAAGACTGCCGGAGGAGTTGTGGCAAGGCAGCTGCTGGCGAGTGCACTATAAAGAAGGCCTGTCGCGAAAACAAATATCACCTTCACAGCACTTGTTGCTCCCTTTCCGGTGCTGTCGCAGTTGCACAGCCTCTCCACATAGTACTGCGCAGGCTCGCAAGCATAGCGACACCTGCATGCGCTTTGATCTCCTATCATCGTGATGCAAGAGGGCGCTAAAAACAACATGAATTTCGAGGAAAACCACTTCAGCAAGCCACGCAAGCACACCAATGCCCAGCGCTGCAGCAGCAAGAGCAGCAGCAGCAAGAGCAGCAAGAGCAGCAAGAGCAGCAACAGCAGCAAAATGCCGAACCTGAACTTCAGGCCTATCTCTGAAATGCTTGCCGAGAGCTTTCGTTTCCTCAACAGGCAGAAGCTTCCCATGGCGCTCTGCACACAAAAAGACTCGTGCAAGTCTGCATCCGAAAGCCGCCTAGTTGCACGACTAGGAAGCAAACGACATTGGCGAGCAGCAGGCAGTGGCTACAGCAGAAGGCGCTGCAGAAAACAGCAACTCCGGCGGAGCGTCAGCTCACTCAGCAGCAGCAGCGAAAAGGCAGCACGGAGACGCACCGAGAAAGACATGAGGATGCTTGAGAAGAAGGGCCAAGAGTTCGGCACGAGTGCCCTCAGAGCTGAGACACTGCACATTCGAACAAGTGGCAGCAAAGGCACCAATAATCGCTGCAGCCTCTACAAAGCTGCAGTTACTCCGTATGTTTGTCGCCTCTCCGGCGAGCAGACACACCGTTGATCCGGGAGCGCCAGCAGACCGTCGGAAGCAGCGGCGGCTGCATCAACGTACCTCCTCTATGACTGCTCCATCAACGAGCTTGCGGCGTTTCAATGCGGAAAAGGAGGGATTCGACATAGTGCTGTCCATAAACGTGTGGAAACAAACAAAATACACACACACCTACACACACCATATAGACAAGAGCACCACGCACAGCTCAGCAAACCACGGTACGTGCACCTGTAGGGTGTATGGACAGCTCAACATACGCAGAGACAAGCGCGCTCGGATCGAAGGCAGGTTTCTGGCCATCTTTTTCTTCTTGTTCCCGCTGCTGCTGTGCAAACTGCTGTGTGTCTGCTGCTGCTGCTGCTGCTGCTGCTTCGGTGGAGCTTGCAGAGCAGTCCGTTGCTTCCGCCGCTGACATCTTCGAAGGAACCTCGATGGAGTGCCAGTGGTGCCCTTGGCGCTGCTGCCGCTGCCTTCGCTGATTCTGTATCGCGTGCGGTGTATACGTGGCAAAGCCCTTTGCTGCAGCTCGAGCTGCATAGCAAGTTTTTGTCGAGAGAGAGAGAGAGCGAGAGAGTGGCTGCGGCAGGCAGCAGCCGACACTGGCACAGAAGCCGTCAGAAGTATTAAAGCCACAGCACTTGCCCTTGCTGCTGCAGACGAAGTTGACTATCAATCCAGAAGCTCCTACCTCCTGCGGTGCCAGTCAGGCCCTTGGGCTGGCGCAGACTCCTTTAGCCTTCTGCAAGTGCATTTTAGGGGAAGATGCAAGAGCGCAACGACCAGTTTCTGATGACTGATAATTTGAATTTTGCATTTTGATGCGTCTGCTGCAAGGCTGCTTTCCCGGAGGTAGCAGCCTGAGGCAGGGGGGGCCCCCCAAATCCCCCGTCGCTTGCGTTCCCCGCCCACCCCCCTTCAGCCAGCCAAGAAGCCTCGCAATGCAGTTTTTAAAAGCAGGGAAGAAACTGTGCAGATAATGCACATTTAAAACACATATACCAACTATTTAGAAGCAAGAAAGCTGCCGCTGTACTACCACTCAAAACAGCAGCAGCAGCGTCTGCCAGACCGTTGGTTCATGTAGCACCCTCGACTGTTGCAGCAGCAGCGTTAGCGGCTGTTGTTGTTGCTGATCCCGTGTTGCTGGGGCGTCAACAACAGCGTTTACTCTTCTCCGAGTCAAGTGCCGACAGTGCAGCAGAGCAGCAGCAGCAGCAAGCAAGGAAGCCTCCCAATGGAGCGCTTGTTGGCAGCGGTGCAGACCGCTGAATTCAACGCTGCACCCTGGTGCCTTCTAGGTGCCATGACATGCGCTTTTTGTTGTTGTTGCTGCTGCTTCTTGTCCTCCCGCCTTTTCTGTAGCGTTCGGCGGTGTGCTAATATCGAGTGTATAAATATTTCTATGTGTAATTTTGTGTATACATGTATGTATACTTTTATGTATACATTTAATATGTATTTGCATGTGTGTACTGGTACGTGTGTATTGGTATGTGTATGTGCGTGTGTATGCATTTTTACATATGTATGTACATGTATATATATATATATATATATGTATGTATGTGTCTGCTGTATGTACGCGCTGCAGATGGGAAAGGCCCTCTTCTCCTTCGAGCAGCAGTTCTAGAGCCAAAAGGGCCGTCAGACGTGTTGGCTACACAAGGCGGCGAAATGAGTGGCTGTAGCGATTCCAGCAGCCATCCCTGTTGTGTGCTGCTCCTTACCAACTGCTGCGCTTGTTTCTTCTGCCTTCTTAGTGACGCAGAAGCCAAAGACACTGCAGAGGTGCGCATTGTACCTTCACAGCTGATCTAGCAGGCTACGTTTCGAACATGCAAATAGATGGTGGTCGGTGTGTACATACAGCATGCGTGTTTCGCGGTATCGGTGTGCATGCAGAGGCTTAATAAGGATTTCCAGGTGCACACTCGGAGCCTCCTCAGGTGCTTTGGGGCCCCCTCTTGTTTGCTGCAGCAGCAACAACAGTCGCATGCATGAGCAGACCGCTCGTGGCAGCTTTCCAGTAGCAGCGCACCTCGGCTAGCAGGAGCACCCTTCTAGGCATGCCCATGCACATGCACACGACAGGCTTCCAAGGGGCTAATTCGCGACCTTCTTGGCTGCTTTCATTCTATTTGTACTGCCCCTATTCACTCCTCCGCTTTGCCTGCTGCAGGAGGATCTTGTTCTTGCTGATGCAGCAGCCTGATTCGTCGACTCACGTCATCCTAAGAGGGCCTGTCGTGAAGGCGCTGGTACCAGCCACGGCAGCAGTAAGACCGCCCTCATGCACAGCAACAGCAGCAGAAGAGGCAGATGATGAGGAAACTCCAGAGGATGCAACACATGAGAAAGCTCCAGAGGATGCAACTCATGAGGAAGCAGCTTCCTATTTGTCTGTGCAAAGCCTTGAGGCTGAATTTCTACCGATACTATTCCGTTTCAAGTTAGAGCCGGTATTGGGACCTGCAGTTCAGCCGGTGCTGCTGCATCTTTTGCATGCTCCGTTGCTGTTGCTTCCTTTGCAGCAGCAGCAGCAGCGGTGCAGCAGCGTGGAGAAGAAGGTGCACCGACAGCAGAAGCCAACTCGGGCCCTATCGAAGAAAGCGGTGCTGCAGCAGACTCTCTCTCGCTTGCAGCAGAATCATCTGTTCGCAACTGCCGCTGAAGCAGCGGGCAGCTATTCATCATCAGAGGCAAGCCGTCGAGCACTACCAGCAACTGCACTTCGCTGTTCGCCAGCGCCCTTATGGCCAGAAGAAACGGCTGCTGCATTTGCAGCTGCAGAGCGCATGTTGCAACCGCAGCTCGGAAGAAGCAGCAGTATTCAGCAGCCGACACACACCTCCCCATCTCCCATGGAGTGCTTTCCTTCCAGGTCCAAACGAGGTGGCTATACACTGCGAAGCTCCGCCATCACCATTAAGAGCAGCGCTAGCATGAGTGCCTTGCCGCACCCAGAAGCAGCCAGGAAACTGCTTTTTGGAGTGCTTGTTGCTGCCTGGTTTTTGCCGCAGCAGCCAGCCTGCGAGCTGTACGGGTTGTCACGCCCAAGCCAGAGGTACTTGTGTAGCTTCCTGTTGCTTGAAAATAAGACTGCAGGCTGCCCCTCAGGCTCTGCTGCTGCCAGGAGCAGCGTAGTAATGGAGGGGGAGCGGCTGGCTGGCGTTGCCGTATTTTGTGCAGCTCGTGCTGTGGTGTGCTGGCTGGCTGCTACAGACACTGCAACTGGTGCCGGTATACCAGGTGCCTCCTTCTCCCTCCCGAGAAGAAAAGGAGTAGCACATACACTGGCAGTAAAACGTGGGACGCAGACGAAGCGACCATTAGCAGCCGCGGCTACTCGTACTGCAGTCGGCGTGCGCGCGTATTCACAGCACCACCTGTTGCAGCTTGGCCTTTTCTAGTTCTGTGATCTATTACGATGAGCCCCTTGAGGCTCAGAGTCTTCCCCGTAATTTTAAATCATGCACACAATCCCAAATGCCATCTTTCGTCATCGGCTTCTCCCCACCCTCCGCAAGTTGCACTCCCCCTCGGCGAGGAGCGGGCAGTCTAGGATTTTTTTGTACAGGGGCGTGTTAGAAGTCTCTCGATTAACCAGTTCCTTGAAATCCAGTCCTTCCCTTATATTATTTACCATCCATTTCTTTTAGAATGATGAGCCAGACGATCGGATTCCATCCTTTAGAGGCGCCTATGGAAAGCCCCAAATACCCACCAGCACCAGCGGGTTCAGAGAGGGCCCCTTGCGGAAGCCGTAAGGGGCCCTCTAGGGGGCCTCAACGGGGGGGCCTCGTTTTTTCGTAAAATATACTTCTACGGTTGTTAGGGCGAGGGTACCTGCGTGTTAAGCGGCGTATTCCCAAGATTCCGTGTTTGAGAAGTCAGTGCCGCAGGGGGAAGCCGCGATAAGCCCCCATAGCTGCACTGAAAGGGCATGCAGCATCCATTGCAGCAGAGCCAGCGCATATGCATATGTATATGGAAGTGAGAATCTAGGGGTCTTCTGTCATACTGAATACATGCAATACTGGCTGCGGCTGCGCCCCCCTCGCTTTAGCGGAAATCCTTAGACGTACAAAACGCCACCGAACGGACTTAGCCAGTCGCGTGCAGCGGCGCTGCCGTTCCTACTGCCGTCCTTCTCCTTGAAAACGGCGGCAAAAAGAAAGAAGGTGTTACTCAAATCGACAAGGCAGCGGAACGGGCAGGCAGAGGCGGCAGAAACGTTGAAGGCAGCATGTTGCCTCTATGTGCTTCCAACGCAGCAGCTGCATGGGCGGCTCTGCTGGAAAACGGCGCGCGAGCAGATGGAAGGAAACAAACGGAGAGGCGCCAAACACACATTAAATTCTTAGAAACAAATGGCAGCGTGAGTGGCGGGATTACCTGAACTTTCCTGCCGTGGAGATGTATGTTGGTATGGAGGCGAAGGCGCTCCTAAAAGGGGGATGCAGATCTTTGTTAAAGTAACGTGGAATCTTGCCTCTCTAACGCTGCTGCTGTCAGCTTCTGCGAATGGTCTTGCTGCCGAGAAAGGAATGTTTGAGCTGAAGAGGCTCAGTGCCGCCAGCTGGGGTTGAGGACGATCATGCGCTATTCCTTGCTCTCATGAGCAAATTTTTTTGAAATTTTCAAGTTGCGTTTTTATGATCGTGTTTCACCGTGCTGTTGCAGACAGAAGTTTCCATCGGCCGTACGCGAGTCTGCTGTCAGTTGACAGCTGCTCCTGTTAGGGTGTTGCAGCAGCAGCAGTCTGTCGCCGCAGCAGATGGTTGTGTTTCTGTGCGTGTTGCCTTCTCCCCCTCCATTGAAGCCACGACAGCAGCGGCGGCAGCAGCCCCCGCAGCAGCAGCGGATGCAGCGTGCAAGAAGCAGCAGCAGCATGCGAAGCAGCAAGAGCGGCAGATCGAGTTAATCGTCAAGCGCCTCCTCAGGGAGGGGGGTGTGGTTTCTGGAGAGGCTTTGGCCATAGCTGCCGGCAAATGGGTATGCTTTGCACGTGGTTCTTTTCTGTTTATGTATAACTGCTTGCCGTCGATGCTGCTTTCTGTGTTTGCAATGTGCCAGTTGTTGTTAGGCCGCCACCGTGAGCGTGCGTGGCGATCTGTGGCGTGTGATTCTTCGATGTTGAGGCTTTCGCACTCATGCGCCAGCATTTCTGAAGCGTTTGCGGGTGCTTTCGCCCGTTTTTGAAAGGGATCAAAGCGCAGAGGCTGGTGGCTGCCGTGTTTATTCTTCAGACTTGGCAGTTGACTGCCTGTCTGACGGTGTTGGCAGAGGACGGCACCACTACCGATGCATGCATCATCGCTCTCCTCGCGTCTCTGCTTTCATTCAAGCTCTGCCGTATTGACAGCCGAACTTTGGATGTGCTGCAGCAGCAGCAAGGGCCTCGAAAATACCAGCAGCAGCTGCAGCACCTGGAGCTCCTCCCTCTGTGTCTTCTTCACAAGCCACTGGCACTAACCTTCGCATATGCTACTGAATCCGTGGGGGCGGATAGCGGAGAGGCCGATGCAGCAGAGGGATTTGGAGGCGAGGAGCATGACTTGCAACAGCAGCAGCCGCAGCAGCAGCAGCCGCAGCAGCAGCAGTTTCGCTTTGTAGCCGATCCAACAGCACTTGAAGAGGCCATTCTTCCTGGCAAAGTAGGGAGCTACAGTTGCTGCATCTGTGCAGCTGTTGTTCTTGCGGATAGCTGCTCCACCTTATCATCTGCATGTGCAGAAACTGCTGCATCTGCATGTGCAGAAACTGCTGCATCTGCATGTGCAGAAACTGCTGCATCTGCATGTGCAGAAACTGCTGCATCTACATGTGCAGAAACTGCTGCATCTGCATGTGCAGAAACTGCTGCATGTGCATGTGCAGAAACTGCTGCATCTGCATGTATCCTGGTGCAGGTGTATGAGCAGAACCGAAGAGTTTCTGTTGCCTCTCGCAGCGAAGTTGGCACTTCACGCCTGCTGCCTGTGGTGAGGGGTGTGTGCATGCGTTCAGGTGTTGGTGTGTCTGAGCGAATCGGGAGAGCTCCACTTTATGCAGAAACTGGCGGGGCCTCCAATTCAGCCTTCAGATCTGCAGCAGATCTTGAAGGTAAATCAAAATGCAATTGATAAAATCACTCTCCTAAGCGTGAGGATGAGGAGGAAGACGCTCAGAAAGCCAGCAGAAAATGCATGCCATCCCAGCACGTCATTCTCGGACGGGCTGTGTTTGCTGTCACTGCTGTTGTTACTGATACTGTTGCTGTTCTTGCTGTTGTTAATGCCTTTGTCACTGCTGTTAATGCTGTTGTTACTGCTGTTAATGCTGTTGTTACTGCTGTTAATGCTGTTGTTACTGATACTGTTTGTTACTGCTGTTAATGCTGTTGTTACTGCTGTTAATGCTGTTGTTACTGCTGTTAATGCTGTTGTTACTGATACTGTTTGTTACTGCTGTTCCTGTCGTTGTTACTCCTGTTACTGATACTGGTGTTGTTACTGATACTGGTGTTGTTACTGATATTGTTGTAGATAGATACTGCTGCTATTACAGATACAGCTACTGTTACAGATATTGCTACTGTTACAGATATTGCTACTGTTATAGATACTGCTGCTGTTATAGATACTGCTGCTGTTACTGACACTGTTTCGTTACTGCTATTATTGTTTGTTGTTACTGCCGCTGCTACTGCTGCTTTTACGGTTACTGTTACTCTTGCTGCTGCAGGCCGCAGAAGAGTCGATGCCGCAGGTTTTTAGTTGCCTTTACAAGGCCCTTCAGGCGCACCAGCAGCACCAGCAGCAAAACAAAAGGCTCAATGCGCGTAGCAGGTAGACTTTTTCGCCGATCCTAGTACTTCCTTTGCCGGGGGGTTGCTGCTGTCATGACACTTTGCCTGCTGCAGTGGCATCCTGCAATCGATGCTGACTGCCGTCTGACTTCGCAGATATGCCGACGCTCCAATTGAATTGCATGCTCCGGAAGCTCATGCGCTGCCGCTACCTGCAGCAGCCGCTGCAGCAGCTGCTGCCGCTGATCTGGGAGGCTTTCCTATTGTTGCAGGGGTGGATTTAGTTTCACTATTGCCGTCACCCCCCCCGCTGCAGCAGCTAAGAACGGAGGAGTTAACACCAACAAAAGCAACAACGCACGCTACCAGCGTTGCCTCCAACTCTGCTGCCGCTGGCAAGGAGGATGCGGCAGGTTCAAAGGCAAACGCAAGCGGCCTCGTTGAAGGTAACTGCCCTCCTGCAGCAGGAGCTGCCGCAGTCGAAAATGATAGTGCCGCTGCTGGCACCTGGACAGAGCAACAACAACAGCATGAGCACCAGCAGCATCAGCAGCAACAACAGCAACAACAGCAACAGCATGAGCACCAGAAGCATCAGCAACAGCAACAACAACAGCATGAGCACCAGCAGCAGCAGCGGAAGCAGCAGCAACAACTGGATGATGATGACTGCGATTTCGCGAGTGCTGTGACGGCACGAATGAAAAAAGGAAAACGAGCGCGGGTTTAGCCTTTCTCCTGTTGCTCCAACGGGAGCAGCAGAGGCAGCTGCGACTGAAGTGACAGCTTCTTGCGCATGCTGCTCGTCGCTGATCAGCCTAGGCGCGGTGTCATCAGCTTCTTATCAAGCTGTTGTAATGAGTTTGACTGCTTCATATCTTGGCGGCCTTGAGCTATAGTGATGAGGATGAATACGGCTATTCTCGGATAATGACAGTTCGACACGTTTTATCTCCGTTTTGTGCTTAAAGCTCTAGATGAAGCTCTAGCTCTCTGAGGTTTCAAGTACAACAGTAGGGCTAATGTTTCAGCAAGGAAGCAAGCGCGCGCGTGCTTGTTTGCCAAGCTGAAAAGACAGCCGACAGAGCTTTAGATTCGGCTAAGGGGCCTCGGTAGGGGATGCAGGTTCAGAGGAGGAGCAGCGAAGGGGGGGAGGGGGTAGAGACACCCGTGCAAGTCTATGACTCGCCTTGATATCGCCTTTAAAGTGGTGATGCTGATTCTGGAGCTTCGTCTGCTGCTGCTGCTACTGCTGCCGGTCTGCATCGTGGGAGCGTCGATGCCTCAGCCTTCTTTTTTTTGGGGGTACATTGACTTTGCTGCTCTGCTGCAGCCGCTACTGTTGCCGCATGCGCCGAAGGCTGCACGTCCAGCGCTTCCTCGTCTTGGTGCTGCTGCTGCTGCGTGGTGGAATCTGCTTGCTGCTGCAGCTTTTGCGTGGTGGAATCTGCTTGCTGCTGCTGCTGCGTGGTGGAATCTGCTTGCTGCTGCTGCTGCGTGGTGGGATCTGCTTGCTGCTGATTTTCTGCTTCCCTTTGCTGCCTTTCGGCCGCTTTTGTCTGCTGCAGCAGCCGCCGCTCAGCGCGAGCTGCTTCTGCTTCCTGCTGCTGCAGCAGGTTCTCCTTCGCCTACAGCAGCAGCATGACAGTTGAAACGCAGCCTGGAGAGTTCAGCGCAGTGACTTTGCAAGAATTTCGCACACCGTAATCAGTCATAGGCACTCGCAACAAGTCTCCAAGAAACAATACCAGCGACAGACTTTGGCGGTAAGTTCCTTTTTCCTGCTTAGCAGCAGGTCTGCTGCCTCAACGCCCAGTGCCGTTTGAAGAGCTTCGGCGACGCCTTTCTCGAACAAACGAACGGCATTCCAGAAAAGCTGCAGAGGCGCATGCGTCATGAGGAATGTCTAACAGGAGATGCCTGCTGCAGAGAGGCGCTAGAGCCCTTACCCCCGCCGCAGCAGCAAGAAACTGCAGCAGCGCAACACTGCGCAAGCGGCGAACGTACCGCCGGATTCGCTTGGCAGAGGTAATACGGTCGCAGATTGTGCTGAGCGATTTCTTCTTTGGAATTCCAGACACACCGAAAGACTTGCAGCAGCACAGAACGACTCAGACCTGCAGCAACAGCAGCACAGGAGGCATTGCAGCATGCTGCGCCATGGTGACACACGAACGCCGAGGCGTGTATGTACAGATAGGCAGGTACTCATATGACTGCGCTGTATCTTAACAGTCCGACTAGCACAGTGCAAAAAGACGTTGCTGTTGCTGTTATTGCAACGCACTGGGGTATGTTTCGACAACCGTCTCATGGGGATTCAAGGTGTCTTGAAAAGAGACGGAGAACTCTTGCTGCAGCAGATTCTGTTCGAGTGTATAGGCACCTCCCTGCACTGCTGACCATCGCCGCTCAGCTGACGTCTCATCTGTGAGAGGTACACCAGCCGGCAACAACACATCCGTTGCAACACAGAGCGTTCAAAAGCAATTAGCGGCACCGTGTCAAAGCGTGTGCAGCCACTGGAAAGTCGTCCTGGGAGCAGGAGCAGGAGCAGGAGTAGTGGTAGTAACAGCAACAACAGCAGCACCGGCAATGGACCGTATCGCCTGTTGAGAGCTCCTCTAAACGCTGCACGAAAAGCTCGTTCTCCCTGGGAAGTGCCCTTGTCTGTCTGCAGATGCAGAGATGGCAGTAACATCAGCAGCAGCACCTTGAGCCGCAACATTGAGGGGGGCAGCACACCCTTCTGATTAGGCAGCAGCGCGTCGAAAAGACGCAGCAGCAGCAGTAGCAAGAGCAACGACAGCAGCACGAGAAGCGCAAAACTGCAGCAGTTCACAAAGAGTTTGACGACATTCTCGACCACTTCTTCCTCGTTTGAACCTAAATGGAAACTCTTTGTTGCACGACGCTTTCTTCTGCTGTTGCTGGCGGCTGCGCTTCCACTGTTGCTGCTATTGTTGCTGCTGCTCCGTTTTGTCGGAGTTTTCAAAGTGACGATGTTGCTGCCAATTGAAAACGGCATTTCCTGCTCTTTTCTGCTGCTGCTGCTGCTGCTGCTGCTCCGAGCTGTAAGTCGCTTAGGCAAAGGACGTGAAGACATCGCCTGCCTTCCGGCTGCAACAACAAAACACACCTCACATCCAGAAGAGGCGTCCTTTGCTGATCTGTGCTGCCCTTGCTGCAGACGTACTGCGAGCTATCGGCGCTCGGCAAGAAGACGTGTTTGCCTCTTAGAAACTCAGTCGCTACGAATGCTATTACGCCATACTTTGACCCTCTCCTCACCAACCCTATCTCACTATTAGCATGCAGCATGATGAGGAGTGCCTCGCCATCCTTCACTTTCGCAAGGGGAGGCCCCTCGTCCTCCGTCAGGGGAACCGGTGGAAAACCGCTTCGCACTGCAACACAACAAGAAACACCTGCAGCAACACGACACAGCTGCAGCAACAAGGAACAGGTGTAACACGAAACAAGGTGCGGCAATGAGAAATAGCTGCAACAAGAAATAGCTGCAGCAACAAGAAACAGATGCAGCAACAAGAAATAGCTGCAGCAACAAGAAACAGGTGCAGCAACGAGAAACAGGTGCAGCAACAAGAAACAGGTGCAGCAACGAGAAATAGCTGCAGCAACGAGAAACAGGTGCAGCAACGAGAAATAGCTGCAACAACAAACAGCTGCTGCAACAAGAAATAGGTGCAGCAACAAGAAACAGGTGCAACAACAAACAGCTGCTGCAACAAGAAACAGGTGCAGCAACGAGAAATAGCTGCAACAAGAAATAGCTACAGCAAGAAATAGGTGCAGCAACAAGAAACAGGTGCAACAACAAACAGCTGCTGCAGCAAGAAACAGGCGCAGCAACGAGAAATAGCTGCAACAAGAAATAGCTGCAACAAGAAATAGCTACAGCAAGAAACAGCTGCAGCAACAAGAAATAGCTGCAACAAGAAATAGCTACAGCAAGAAACAGCTGCAGCAACAAGAAACAGGTGCAACAAGAAACAGCTGCCAGAGCAATGGCTCTGCTTCCCCCTCTTCCCTTCCCCCCTTCCTCCCACTGCTACCGATTGATCTGCGACATTACCAGAATCAATGTCTTCTACATCCACTCCAGACGCTACAGCAGCTGAAGTCAGAGCCGCAACAGCAGGATGCACACCCCAGTGCAAAGCCTCCCTCCACGGAATACAGCAGTGTCTGTACAGACGGGGGCAGCAGCAGCAGCAGCAGCAGCGACGCAATTTGGCTATCATACCCACCAGACACGCCGCGGCAGCAACACACGTAGAGGCAGCGTAGAAACACAGAGTTTAGCTGACCTCGTTGAAGGAGCTCATCGAGAGACGCTTCATTATGAATGGTCAAGTTGAATATCTTAGGGGGCAGCCGCAGCCGCAGCCGCAACACCCCCGGTAAGCTGCTAGTGCCACTGCTGCTGCTGCTAGTAATGCTGCTACTGCTGCTACTGTTGCTGCTACTGCTGCTAGTGTTGCTGCTACTGTTGCTGCTACTGCTGCTACTGTTGCTGCTACTGCTGCAACTGTTGCTGCTAGTGTTGCTGTTACTGCTGCTACTGTTGCTGCTACTGTTGCTGCTACTGCTGCTACTGTTGTTGTTGCTAGCGCTGTTGCTGCTAGCGTTGTTGCTTTGAGTGCTGCTGCTTGAGCAGTATGCGGCTTCGCCGGAAGGAGCCGCCGATGTACCCTGCAGATGATGCATCGTTTCGTCCGTTGTGTGTAGCCACTGCCTCCACGAAAAAACTTCTTCCTGCTCTTACTGCTGCTGCTGAGGTGCTTTGCAAAGCGCAGCAACGCAGAAAATGCTGCTGTCGATGCCAAGACTTCTGCCTTTGTTGCCCCCAGCTAGCGCCGCCTCCACAGCACTTCGTCGAGTGCTGCTGCCGCTCGCTGTTGCTGCTCCTCACGGATAGCTCGTGAGAACTCAGCTTCCTATGCATGCATATATATATACATATATATGTCTCCTGGAAATTGAGTTCTACGCGTGGACGCTATTTCCCGCACGGTTCAGAAGCGTTTCGTCGGAGGGGGGTCTAACGGGGGGGAAGCCTCCCCGTCCCCCTACCCCATCCCGAAAGAAGAGAAGCGCTCTTTTCTTGAAGCTGGTGATGCACATTCCTGAGTGTATCTTGAATCGCCTCTTTGATGCGCAAGACATGCATGCACTGCAAGTGTTGCAATATTGCCTTCTGCGGGGTTCAGTCCCCTCCCCCCGGCCTTTCGGAGAAGGTTCGACTGCAGAAAAACTCGCACTGCGTCTCTGAGAGCAATATTCCTCAAGAAAAGCCGCCTTCTCGAAAGCGGAACAAGCTCAGCTCCGTGGCTGAGGAGCAGAATGCCGTAGTCTCCTCCCTCCAACGGACTCTTAAGAAGAGGCGCCTCCGTTCTACCTGCGCCTCGCCTCGCGGTTAGGCAACAAGAATTTGCCAAACTCTGTTCTTCTCGAAGCTTACAGTGCGCATGCTGGTGTGTGTGCGCATGCATTTGTAGGGTAGACACCGCAACTGGGCCCTTCCCAGGGGACGGCTGTTAGGGGGCGCAACAAAACGTTCCACTGAAAATCTCCGTGGGGAAACCCTTGCGTGCCGCGCCATTTCAACGGCATTTAAAATATATCAAGCATCCTCCCCCTCCCCTCTTCCCCCAAGAGAGCTCCCTACTTCCCCTGCGGACGCCTCTCCGTATATAGATATGCGGGGAAACACAGAATACTACAGTTTCAGCAACGCGCTAAGCACGCCGAGCATTTACAGCGAGTTGCACAAAACGTGTTGGACTCATTTCGCGGAATGCTGCGGCTCGGTATATCCGACAAAAAAATTTCTGCAGAAAAATAGGATGCACGAACAAACAAGACCAAATACCACGCTGATCTATGCTTCAAGACTTGTACCACAATACCGATATTTAACGAAGAAGTAGCAAAGAACTGACAAATTAGGCTGTCCGTTTGCATATATCTTGACAACTGCAGATTAGCACTAGCTCGCTACTAGAGGACACGACGTTGTGTGCGTGCGTGCTAGAGCCGAAGCGTGCAGCTAGTTGTGAAGGCTAGAGGGCGCAGCTAGCCACACCCTAACTGCCCCTTCCCCTCATGTCTGAGCAAGGGAGGAACCTGTCATGAGAAGGAGGGAGCCTTTTGAAAAAGCCATAGGTAAGTGGCCTTCTAGAAAGTTTGTATAGAGAGTCTCGCGTTAAAAGCCTTTCTACGGAGATCATGCATGAAGCATTGTAAGTGTATTAGACAGTGCGTGGACGTGATTCTCTCAGGATCACAGATGTGGTGGAGGGCAGCTCTCTGGCTCCACTAGACACTAGAAAGCCTAAGGCACCTAGAAGCAACATGCGAGCATGTGAAAGATAGCTATTCTCTAGCACGCGCTACGCATTTGTCTGTAGGGAGGGCCCTGTCCTATAAAGAAGCGCGTTTGGACTGCAGTGTGTGATAGAGCGCAGTACACAGCAGTTCCTACAGCGTCACGCAGTGGTGATTAGACATTGCGAGAGGGGCACCACTACTAATTGGTTTTGAGTGCCCTAGAGGGATGGCTGTTTTTGCTGCTGCTATAGGGATGGCTGTTTTTGCTGCTGCGCTGCGTGCAAGCTCATTAGAAGCCCTTCCTGCGGATATAAGAGCAGCCGCGCGCGAAGAGCAGCACTTGCTGAGAGCCGCCTCTTAAGGCTATTTAAGAGCTGCCATCCGGACTGGGGCATGGAACGGTGTAACAGAAGGAGGAAACTCTTCCTCCAACATCCTTCCACTGGTTCAGCCCCAGCAGATTTTCAAGCCAGCAAGTATTCGGCACGTCGCTGTCCACTGAAACCACAAACCAGAACCCGCGGATTTAGCCATAAATCAACGAGAAGGTGGCGCTAACTCCACAGGTCAAACATACTGCGTCAAGAAGCGCTCGCGCAGGAAGAAGAACTCACCGAGGAGGGCACCGCTAATTGCTGTAGACTTATAAATAGATAAATATATACGTATACATATGTATGTATATTAAGCGAAAAAACCGAACATGCGATGCCTGGAGAAAGGGGAAAAGAAAGCGAGGGATGAGCGCACACCCGTAGATCGCCTTACATGAGCCCATAATATAATTCATATTTTGTTCGATGCTGCAGTCTGGCCCCGCATAGAATTTTTCGGTGGTTTGCAAAGCCTCGCAGTCGCACACGAGCTCGAGGAGAGTTCCTGATCCATGCATGCAGAGGACAGGGTGCACACGTAAAAGGCATGCGTCTCTCTGGAGTTGAGTCCACGTCGAGATACATGCATGCAGTTGAAAGCACACGTAGAGAGGCACATACACACGGAAAAAAGATGTGCAGAGAGGAGAGGCAGATCTGCCAGCCACCCCGATAGGGCTAGTAGCGCATGGCAAGAAGAGTACCGGAGGTATGCAGCGGCAGGACAGACGGGAGGAATACTGTTGCCTCTCGCCGAGACGCCCAAGCCGGGGTAGTGCATTCAACGCAGAAAGCAGGGGGCAGAAGATTCATGGAGGCGCGCACAATCACCCACGGAGAGAGCGAGAAATATGAGGAGGCGAAAGGCATTCGACACACTGACCGCAAGCCAGAGCGAGGCACACAGAGCTCAACCTAGAAAATCGGCAGCTCCTAAAGACCAACCTGAGGCAACATTAACTCCGCATTTGGCGCCGTTCTTGCAGTAAGCCAAGACCTGCGCATCGGCGGGGAAAAAGCTTATGCAATCCCCCCCTGTTGCAGATTGGCAGTTCGACGGGGGTATTGCTGCAAAGCAACACACGACGGCATAGTCGCAGCAAGCAGAGAGTGGGACGGGCGTCTGCGTAGCGGGGGAGACGAATCACGTGGCCTCCTTTTCTGGGTAGCATGCTCATGAGCCGCTTATCCGGTGATGTCAGTGGTAGCAGTGCACACAGATGCAGCAACGCAAAGGCTTCCCGACCAACGGCGCAAGAAGCGTTGAAGCGGCAGCGGCCGGGGGGATAGGCAGAGCAATGCTGAGCGAGCAAGAGACGGAAAGGAGTGGAGCAAACGCAGGAGCACCCCGCTCGGATGGAGCACAGGCACGAGCAACGCTAGAGACACGGCGGTGTCACGACGCTTGGAGGTTCAAGGAAGCGGAAGGGAGGGAGAGAAAGATAAGACGCAGATCCGCTAAGGGGAAACCGAAAAAGGAGGATGTGGAGGCGGCAGAGAGCAAGAAAGAAAGATAATAACACAGAAAGAAGCATGGCGTACACTGTATGGACAGCAGGGCTGACACGAGTAGCAGCAGCCACGGCTTCTGCTGCTGCACAGAGGGCCTCGACGTGCCACCCATGAGCAGGAAGTTTGGCGGAAGGAGCCACGCGAAGAAGGAGGCCTAGAGCGGCGGAGAACGCCTTGAATTGCTTTGTTGCGAAGCAGGTCACTGGCAGGCAGCGTCAACCTGAGTGTCTGGGGAAAACGATGGGCTAACGAAGAAACTCCTCCGCTATCGCTGCAGTACGTCTCTGAGGGTTGGACGTCTGATCTTGAGTAGATGAGACTGGCAGCCCCTGCGGGGTGAGCTGTCTGTACACTGCAGCTTCAGACGTCGAGCCACCGGGGAACAAGCCGCGCAGGAGGGTGCAAAGTCTCGAGTCTGAGGCTTCTTGTGCCGAAGCGTGCAAAGGCGTATAGAAAAATATATTATTACAGAAGTATCACACATTGAGGTCCCCGTATGCTAAGGCATGGCACGCAGCAATCACGTCATTCCCAAGCACAGAGGCCCCAAGGAGGGGGGGCCACTTTCCCCCCCTGTAGCCCACTGGTCTAAGCAAAATCACGTGCGTGAAGCTTTTATTTCCCATGTCTTTGAGTCCATACATATATATATATTTTTTATATGAGAATATGTCTGAAGGTAACGCTTTGAGCGGTGCTACTGAAGATGCAAGTCCCTGATCCGGGCATAGAGAAAGGGCACGGAAACTTGGGGTGTAGTAGACCCATGACGCCTCAGCACGTACTGCGAGTTTATCCCCCATATGCGAACCTCAGCTGTGTGCCAAAGATTCCTATTTAGATCACTGCTTTTGCTGCTCTAGATGCCTCAGCGGTTGTTGGTGCAAGCTTTGCCTACGTATACAGTTGTGGTGGCACAACAACGCCACAATTGGGTCGTTGTGATGCCCTCACACTTTTGACCAATAGGACCCAGCTGTAGTTATACTACGCGGTGGACTCTGCGATGCACAAATTATCGCGCTTCGATATGTTTGTCTGCATTTCGGATGCACCCAAGTAGCCACTGTTACTTGGATGATGCTGTACTCTCAACTTTGCACGGCCTGTCTTTCTAGCTCTTTGGTGCATGGATCTACCATAAGTGTGAACGCGGAACCACTGGGCTGTCAGTGCAGCAGTAGCGGGCTGCACGCAACGGCTCGGTGTCTTCTACTACATTGGTATTAATGTCCATCGCTGCATTCCGTTAAGTATTGACTTTATTTCCTGGCTGGTCTCCTACTTTATTTGCTGCAGGTCATTAGTAATAACTATCACCATAACACAGCAATAAATACTAGGTGTACCCCTCCGCGCTAACTTGCCGCACGCACGCACCTGGTGTGAATGAATGCTTGGGAGATCAGGTAGCCTGGCGTGCTTGGACACTGCATATCCCTCCGGGGCCGCCTTCGTGTCGAGCATCAGTGGCTTAAGGTTAAGGTCGAGAATAACACTAATGATCTCTCCTATATACATATAAAGGCGCTCAGTCATGGTCGTGGCGCTCCAAGAACTCTTTACAGAGAACCAAGGAGGAGCGTTGCACAGAGGGCTGTTTCTCCGTGTTGAAGACTGTTTCGATCATCTCGTGCACAAAGCAGCATATGGATAGACACAAACCACCATGATTTCGACGTTTTGAAGGATTGGGTATGGGTTTGGAGACAAATACGCAAACGCACTCTACATATACATGTGTATCTGTGAAGGGTTCCCACCGATAAGCGGACTCGTGTAAGGTGTGATCCAAGCAACAGAGTGACTATAAGCGAAAACCCCAAGAAAGGTGTCTTCTCATCTTTTAGTTCGACCAAAGAGAATACAATTAAGAGAATGACTGTTGCGTCCTCGATCGAGGGCCGTAAAAGCCATATATGGATAACCGACAAAGGCTTGCAACATGTGGTCTTTTAAACATTCTGCGGTGTAAGCCCTTTTCTTCTCTTAACAATAAGCCCTTTTCTTCCCTTTACAATGAACTCCGAAGTTGTGTGCACGAATCCAGTATAGCCCTGGTGCTTCAGGAAACTTAGAATTTTGATGGTGCCAGAGGCCCTGATAGCCAACTTAAGGCTCTTTAATGGGTTCTCGGATTTGACCATTAGGCCTCAGAGTCACCTCGTAGGCGGACAGAATGGCGAAAAAGGGGTGTGGCATTAACGCATTCTGTTTCATCCGTCTTGCGAAGACTCGGCAGCTCAGTTCGCGGCCTAATAGCTCAAACAAGGATTTCAAACATCCAAAAACCGACCACTTCAGGAAGGGCCCTGTCATTGACGATAATCGCCATACTTCATTTAAAATGCATTATCGTTCAGCCAAAAGATTAGCTTCCTTTCTTGTACACACAAATGCGTGTGCTATTCACTGGAAGGCGCAAACGCTCACGAGGCTGTGCACTGCGCAAGCCGCTACCACTAAGGCAACAGAGGGAGACCACTGGCCTCATGGACATTACGTGAGCTTGAGTGGAGGCTTAAAATGCATGGATCCTTTCAATGGGAAGGACACGCTTTATAGGGATGCAAAGAATCAGCATCCCCATAAAGCGGATTATTTAGACACTGCAGTTTGCTGGAAGCAGGTTTTACAGAAAGGTTCTATCCGTAACGCCGTGATGCAAATGTGTAGGCAACTCAAGGCCTCGCCATTCTGAGCTCCCCTAAACCTGTGTTGTGCAGCGGAGTTTATAATATGAACCCTAAGCGGACTTAGCTGCACAGAGATATCCCTTAGTAGAGTCCTGAGGGATGAACGCTTTGTTTTGCAGCTACTGGGTGTCAATCTAGAGGCCTGCTAGCCACTCTTCCTTGCAACTTGAGAGAAGACAATAGGAAGAGAATCAGCTAGCCAGCGTACTTGTGTTACAGCGATGCGAATGGATAGCGTCACCTGTACTCTGGTGCAGAAGGCCTTTATTACGGCTTTGGTGCGGTCACTGTTGAGTCGTTGAGCGGAAAAAAACAAGGTGGCACAGCTTGTTGCTCTTTACAAACAACACGGGCTCCCCGATTAGCCATTAAAGCCGGTGTATCTCTATAGCCTTGTCGGAGCTACATTCAGCTACTGCCGCGCAAGTTTTTGAAAGGTGCTCGACATTGGAAGTCTCTGCTGCTGCTTCTTGAAAGAGAAATGCACCTTGATTAGAACGTTTAAAAGCATCCAGTGTGCAGTTAACACCCTCTGCAGCAAGTCCGAGCTACCCGCGCATACCTCGTGGTGTACCTTGCGCGGGATCGCCTCTCTCAGTAACATCAAGCACGCCTTGGCACAGGTAGCGATCCAGAAAATAGAGCTCTTCCTGTGTATATGCATGTATGCGTAGCATTACACTAGATCAATCTATATATACATATATTTTTTTCTGAAAGCTCTATGGAGGCGTCATGCGCCTTGTTGCTCCTTTCAACCGTCGTGTGCTACATGTTGCTGTAGTTGGGGCCTCCTCCTCCTTCCGGTACTGTCCACTCAATAAAGTCTTTGGGGCATTTAATGGCGCAGCATTTGCAGTGGATGCAATTTTGCTTATTGATTTGCAGAAAGGCCTTTCCGGAGGGGTCCTCGAGGTACTCATAAACCCTAGAAGCACTCAGTGCAGAGACAGCTGGAGAAGGCGCTGGTGGTAGACAGGACGCACGGCGTCGTTCGCAAAATCACTGGTCTACACGTCCGTGTGAGGAATTTGCACGGAGTAGGCGCAAGGGCCTTGACAAAGCAGGGGTTGAAGCAAAAGAGCCAGAGAGTGCGCGCAAGACGGACACTAGGCAGCAGAGGCTGTCGAGAGCGTGTGGGAGGAAGCGAAAATTCGAGGGCAACAGGATACTTTGGTGGCAGAGGCAAGAGGGAAGCACAACACAGATCCAGAAGTACATACAGATATTGCGCACTTGCGCGAAAGAGAAAGAGAGAACGCAGCACATGGTCTAAAAATGAATAATTCCCCATCACAGGTCGTTTGTTTCGATATATATACACATGTATGTACGTATAATTATGTGCAGATCCATATGAACGCCTACGGTATCTTATCTGTAGGAGATACACAAGCATGTGTACATGGGTGTGGGTATATTTTTAAGAGGAAACATCCACACGCACATAAATACACACACATAGTACACATCTCATCACATGTGAGGGCTGTTACCCTGCCGGACAGAAGCGGCTCTCTGGAGCAGCAAATTCTTTGAGAGAGATTTCCACTGGAACATCTTGCAACCCATCTCGCACCTGAATCAAAAACAAACGATTATTTTTAAATTGGCAGTTTGTTTGCGAGACCATGGGGCTTTACGGGCTGCTTCTGCCCTTGTACAATTCAAAACCATGCCTGTCCGGACGAAGCACCGTGTATATGACATCGATTTGGAAAGTCTGCAATGCCTGCGAACAGCCCCTTCGTCACGCGAGAGACTGGAAAGGGCAAGCTGCGTGCAATACGGACGGCGCTAGCTTCGATGCATGCAGGGAGATGGACAGGAGGGAAAGCATTTAAATGCTAGAAAGCGGCCTGTTTGGGCGGGCATGAAGACTGTGGGCATATTAATGAGGAGGGAGTCGGGGAGATTCGAGGCACATGAAAGGCACTTCTAAAAGCCCCCAAGAGGCGTTTCCTTGCGCACTTTGAGATGGCAAGGCTGATCTTCTCGGTGCCAGACACCGCTCCTGGCCAGGCTCTCAGTTAGGGGAAAGCTGTACGCAGACACACCGAGCCGCAACAAGTTCAGAATACGCAAACGCATTAAGGAATGTGCAGGAAACTAAGTGCAGGAAACTAAGCGCTCTCGGGTAGGCGTTCAGAACAAGGGGCCGCGTGGCTGTAGGCCGAGAGGTACAGCAGCGCAGAGGCCACCGTTAGAATTGGGGGGAAAGTAGTGAAAAAAGAGGTCAAGATAGGGGCTTTTGCAATTGGCGGCATGATGGAATGCAAGAAAATCCAGTGCCGCGAACCATAGAGAGCCCAACAAGTTCAGAGATCGGCACCAAAAGGCATGAAGGAAGAGGCCGGCCGAAGAGCTGCGTTAATACAGCGATTCAGCATGCATTGCGACGATAGAGTTGTACAACAACAATGGGAGGCGTGTAAGGGAACTGTGGATATAGTTTGGCTAAAACGTGCCTAAGAATCCCGTCCGGAGGACTGTATTCAATAGGATGATGCTTCACGGCTTTCTCCGTCATCTCGCTGTCTCGCTTCTTCCATTTGAGCGTATACGGCTCGCAACCCTTCGTTAAGACCAAATGCACAAAGCTTCCCAACAACCCTCCTACTAGGCCCCACTGAAAGCATGGCTTGGCATTCCTCACCTACACTCATACACATGCACACATATACACATATACACATATACACATGCACACATATACACATATACACATGCACACATATACACATACACACATACACACATATACACATATACACATGCACACATACACACATATACACATACACACATATACACATACACACATATACACATATACACATACACACATATACACATATACACATACCTATACTGCTCTCTAGCGTCAAGCGTGTATAGCCTGATGAAGGAGATACAGCGCCTGTCACGCAACGTCTGCTACTACAGGGGTAATCCTTCGGATTACAGCTCACGCTGTGAAGTTCCTGCCACAGCTTGGACTGCCGTACAGCGGTTTCATAGCCGACAGGCACGCGCGGCTGCGCTGTCTTGGGGGCTGGTGCCTCCGATCGTAGAAATTCGGCTGCTTCTTGCGCTGCAATAATCCCGGACCGCATGGCCAGATGCACGCCCTTGACTGCAGGGACGTTCAGGAAGCCTGCACTGTCGCCTAGCAGCATGCCTGCATGCAGTCGAAAAACGCCCTCAAGAGCCTGGTAAGCTGCATAAGCCGCAGACGACGCCAGGGCTTAGTTTGTTTTTGCACGGAGATGCAGCTGTGTGGAACGTCCACAAAGGCAGGAGGGGGAAGGGTCTTATGAGAATCTGTTTTTACGCATCTTTTTGCTTATGGTTTTGCATGCACCTCCCGGAAACGCAAGCTTGGGTATGGCCTGCCATCCGCCTTCTGACACGCACTTCGCGCCGTACGAAATACAGCGCGCTCCGACAAGTAGCGAGGCCAGGATGGGGTGGCTCTTGAAACGCTGGAATTCCAAATAGGGGCTGCAGGCATCAAGCGGGAAAAAAACCCAAGCGAAAAGTGTGAGACTGTAGGATCGGCGGGGGCTAAGCGGCAGCACAGAGCGCAGCCAAGGACATGGTGCAGGAAAAGGCAGAAAAGACTGGGCGAAAGGGAGAGAGAAGATGATGAATGACAATGATGATGAATGATAATAATGATGAATGATAATAATGATGAATGACAATGATGATGAATGACAATGATGATGAATGACAATGATGATTAATGATAATAATGATTAATGATAATGAATGATAATGAAGATGAATGATAATAAATGATGAATGATAATGAATGATAATGATGATGAATGACAATGATGATGAATGATAATGATAATAAATGATAATAATGATGAATGATAATGATGAAGCAGAAGGGGAAAAATAAGAAATAGAAGGAAAATCGTAATAAAAGAAGGAGGAGAAGGCCAACTGTAGGAACGAGCTGTGAGGAGGCACGGGGGTCTTTTCGGACGCCATGGCTGCAGAAACTGCAAGTGCCAGGCCGTCTTAGGAAGCGCGTAAAGGAGCACACGTGTGCGAAGTCAGTTGCACTTGAGGTAGGGGTCTTTATAATCTAGGCTAATAACGAGGCCTATAGAGAGGCAGCCTCCTTGGGTTTCGTATGCAAAGCCGCCTCCAAACGCTCGGGAGTACAAGGGCCAGCCTAGTGTATGCAGAACTCTTCCTGGGAACCGAGCAGAGGGGGGCAGCATCCACACCTCTTTCAGCCCTACGGAACGGCAACAGAGCAGCACGCTGCAGCATCGAAAGCGTCAAGTCATCAACTGACTGCAGGCCTTACAGAAGTTTTCACGCAGAAGAAAACTGCCCTCCCCCGCCACCCTGAGCGCGCCAAGGCCCCTTCCTGCAGCGGCAGAAAGACAGCTAGGCACGCGGCAGTCGGGAGAGATACCAGAGACGCGACAGGGAGAGCGAAAAAGCAGAGCTATCCTCTGAGGCTGTGTCACGATGCACCGAAGCCTCCAAAAGACACAGATAGATACACAGCGGACGAGGGTAGAAAGCCGCATAGGGGAATATATATATATATATATATATATATATATATATGTATGTATATGTATGTGTAGCAAGGGCGAGAAACTGAGGCGAGAAGATGGGGGTTTGCCTGAAAGGTATGCCTTGTACAAAAGCTCATAGACTTACCAAGGCCGTATTTTGTCGGGCACAAAGTTTCTTGCCTGAGGTCGAAAGCGGAGACGACCTGCTCTGCTAGAGAGCCTTTAACGCCCTCCGCGATAAGGAGACAATTAGACTGCACATCCACACCGGGGGTGAAGGAGGCGAGGGGTTTGCCATGGGGTCCGAGGCCGCAGTCGGCTGTCCGTACACCGGAAACATACCAGCCCTCCCTGCGTATAGCTGCTGGTGCGACTGCAGAAAGGGGTACTAGAGCCTCCCCTTTTTGCCTTTGCAGCAACAGTTCTGCTGCGGCATAGCCTGGAAAGACGTCGACTCCCAACGCCTCCGCGTAGGCGCCTAGCCACCGACAGAGAGCGCCTAGAGAGATGATGAAATTTCCTTCGTTGCGGAGCACCGAAGGCATCATGCGACGGGGCAAAGACACCGAGTGCTTGGCATCCAGCAAGAACACAAGGCGATCTTGCGTCACAGGAGTCATCTGGGGAAAGGCACCTGCGTTGGCAGTGAGAGGTTCTTCGAAGAGAAACTTTTGTTGGCCCTCTTGCACCGCGCCAAGAAGACTTGCCGAGGCACTTGCGTGAGGCTCGACAGACACGCCTTCCAGCGGATCCCCCCGTCTCCCCTCAGAGGGAGCCTCCCCCCGAAGCAAAATCCTCCACCCTGGCAGTAGCTCGTCTAAGGCCGATGGCTTTAAAACGCTTCCCGAGACTATGTGGCCTCCCAACGCGGCTGCCTTTTCGATCAGGCAAACTGAAATGCTGGTGCGCTGCGCGGCTGCAATTTGCTTGAGCCGAATCGCAGCAGCCAGACCTGCTGGGCCCCCGCCTACAATGACAGCGTCATACAGAAGGCGTTCTCTCCTAGAAGAAGTCGTCGAGGCGCTCGCTTCCCGAGTTTGCAGCCGCGGTGCACTGCAGAACGCGAAGTTCAAAGAAGAATAGGGCCGGACGAAAGGTTCTACAGTCGGCAGGAGGTCACAGGGAGAGCCTCCAGGAAGGCGCCAGACGAAAGGCTTCTCCCTCGGGGAGAGGCAAGCTGCTGCCCATCGCCGGAATACCAAAAAAGGCGGCATGAACGAACGCATGTCTGCTTCTTTTCCGACTTCGTCAAGGGCCTCCGCAAGGGGGTACGATATCGTCGGGGAAGAAGATTCGAACGAAAAAATGGGTATTCCATATTATGTAGCTAGGACGTAGCGGAGTCGCGCCTGCATCTATCTATATATGTATATCTAGGCACATACAATATACAGCCGCAGTGCACCGTGCACTACTTCGGGGAAAGCGGCGGACGCACGCCTCCGCGCCACTCGAAACCAACTGCAATACGTCTGCACACACTCCGTGAAGCCCCTTCTCCGTGTCTCAATATGCGTTTCCTGCAAGAATTTACGGTGGTCGTAAGGCAACAAACTCTCCCCCTCCCCGAAAAGCAGTCTCCTCTCCCCTGAGCACCTGCGACTTTGCGCAGCGCGTGTTGCAGCAGCGCCGGGAAGACTTTGATGCCTCTGAGGCGCGTAGGGCCCCCAGCCGGAGATCTGTAGGCTTGCTGCGCCCTTTTTGCATGCTAAAGGGTATCTGCATGCGTTTTCTTCATGGAAGGATATTCTTTAGATCCCGATTTCCTCCCCAAAAGGCCCCCCACCCCCAGCAGCCGCCTAAGAAAACGCTGCCCCACCCCCTACGCATCCCTCTTCCCTCCCCCCGACCCAGAGGCCGTCCTTCCGGAGGAAAATAAAATTCCCCTGCCTTCTCCCCACCCACCTCTCCCTCCCTCTTTCGGAGAATGAGCCTCGCGAGAATCGCTGCTCGAGGAGGGTTCAACGTGACGCCTCGCGGAGGCAGCAGCAGCAGGTTACTTGGCACTTTTTCCGTGACTCCCACAGCCACTCGCCGCACAACCCTTAACAAGGAACGCTTCCCCTTTTCCCCCTCGACTCGCTGTTCCTTCCTTCGACCGCTAGCGAGGGGCCCCCCCCCCGCCGCTGGGGTGGCTGCTGTCGTCGCCACTGCCGCCCCCCCCTTTCCTGGTGTCTCCCGCTTTTTCTCTGTCAACAGCAGCACCAGCAACAACTGCGATGCCTCAGAAAGCAGCGGCAGGACGCCTGCCGCAGCGACGGCAGCAGGGGAAGGCGCAGAGGAAGCAAACGACGTCGACGGTGAAGGCGCATCTCCAAGAAAAAACGATACTACCACTCCCGATGCCCCCCCTCCAGAAGCCCTCGACGCGGAGCAAGTAAGCACATGGACTGTAGCGCATGCAGACGAAGCGCGCCATGCGTGCGCGCGAACTTTTCTGCCTGCGTGCATCTGGCGAGGGGGGCCTACCCCTGCACCAGGCACACTTTCATCATTCGAAGCTTTCCAGAAATGCGCCAGACAGAGATCCGGCGAGGCGCCGATCCAAGGGAAGGCCTCTTTTGGAGTCTCTTCCGCCGCCGTTCTCGCTTGCGGGTTGAAAAAACGCCTTTGGGCCCGAGAGACTTTTGCGTGAATTTGCGCGCAGCTCAGACTGCAGTTAGGAACCTCTCGGGAGGCACTGGCGGCTGCAAATACTAAAATTCGGGAGTTGCAAGACAAGTTGCTTCGCTCTCTCGCCGATCAAGAGAACGCGAGAGTGCGACTTTCAAAGGAGGTGGGAGAGCTCAAAAGCCTACGCCTTGTACACGGCTTCCGTTTGAAGGGGAAGGGGAGTTTTGCTGCGGTGAAAAGGGTTTGAAGGCATGGCCTCTCACACAGAGAAAGAGGAGAAGAAAAGAACAGACAGAGAGACATACAGAGAGAGAGAGGCAGAAAGAGAAGGAGAGACAGAAAGAGAAAAAGAGACAGACAGACAGGAACACACAGGCACGCCGTTTGCCAAATGAAATGAACATTTGTCGAAAGGCTCGACTGTGTTCGCTCTGTGTGGGCAGGTTGCTTCGGCTCGGGATTATGCAATGTCGGCTTTCGCAAAGGCGTTGCTAGACGTTGGTGACTCCCTCGCGAACGCGAAGGGGCAGTTGCAGCAGCAGTTGCAGAAGCAGCAGCAGCAGTGCCAACCGGAGGACGCAGCGAAGCAGCTGCAGCAGTTTTTCGATGGGGTGTCGCTGACTGAGAATCTTTTCCATAAAACCCTTGAACGATTCGGAGTCGAACAGTACAACCCCGTGAGCATGCGCAACCTCCCAGCGTCTAAGCCTTCTGGGCCCTAAGTACTCACACACACACACATGCGTCTGAGCGCAGTAAAATTTGTACTTGAAAAATATGCGCATTTGAATGCTTTTTGCAAATGTGTATGTATCTTCGCTTTCAGATGGGGGAGAAATTCGACCCTTCACTGCACGAGGCTCTCTTTGAAATGGACGGCCCTGCTGATGTATGCAACTCGTTAAGAACTGCGACCAGACTTTCACCCATAGTTAGACTCTCAATTTCAAATTAGACTCCCTGCGGAGATCTACCGTAGATGCACCCAATGATCCGTTTCCTCATCGCGCCAATAAAAGATCCTTCACCTCAAGCTATGCTAACTAGCCACAGTTTCATCCTTGGAGGGACTGTGTGTATATATGTGTATGTGTATAGATGTGCATATATGTGTATAGATGTGTATACATGTGTTTGTGCAGGTGTATACATGTGTATACATGTGTGTAGATGTGTATAGATGTGTGTATGTGGAGGTGTATAGATGTGTGCATGTGTATGTATATATGTGTATGTGGAGGTGTAGAGATGTGTGTATATGTGTATAGATGTGTGTATATGTGTATAGATGTGTATACATGTGTTTGTGGAGGTGTATAGATGTGTATATGTGTATAGATGTGTGTATATGTATGGATGTGTAGGTGTAAATAGATGTGTATATGTGTATAAATGTGTGTATGTGGAGGTGTATAGATGTGTAGGTGCACATAGTAAATAGATGCGTATATGTGTATAGATATGTGTGTGTGTAGATGTGTATAGATGTGTGTAGAAATGTATGTATACATGTGTATGTGCACTTGTATGTGGTTTTGACACAGAAGAAGGGCAGCGTTGCGCAGGTCGTTCAGACGGGATACAAAATCAAAGACAGAGTTTTAAGGGCTGCAAAAGTGGGCGTCTTTAAAGGCCAGTAAAGGCCTGAGGTTTCCAGAGGCACGTACTGCAAACGCTTCGATATATAGGCGATTGCAACGGTGTATTGCAGCCATTGGCAGTTGTCAGGAGCGGCAACAGCCGCAGCAGCAGGAGGAGCAGGCAAGACATGAGGGATGCCGCAGCAGCAGCAGCGGTCATATGCATGGATATCTGCAGGTGGTATCATGCAGCACTTTGTTCTACCCAGCCCCACTCATTTGTTTAGCGTCCTCACTCACGGCTGCAGCTTCTTCAGCATGCCTGCTTTTTTGCTGGCGACGACGCTTCCAGTTGTGGAAGGCGAACACTAGGGTTGTTTTCTGGAGTCCAGTAACAGAGACGGCGTATAGGCAAGGGGGGTTTTCACGCGGGGTAGATGCAAGTGTATAGTATCTTCATGGGGCCTGGTCGCTCTCAAACCTTAAATTGCTGCCCAACACTCAACCGATCAGTCTTTGGGAAAACGTTCCGAAACGTTGCAAAAACTCGATTATTCGAATCAGGATAAAACCGCAGTGCGCATTTCGGACGGGCAGAAATAGGCTGCATATACTGCAGACACCCTGACGCCGTCGCACAGCTCCTGCGAAACTGCTGAGTTGCTCCCCCTGAACCCGCGCCTATAAGAACCAGAGAGTTCGGAGAGAACGGGAAAGTCTTGAACTCACGAGGTCTGTGCATGATCTGTAGAAAGAAATCCCAGAGGAAGGGCAGCCATTGGACTATCAGAGCGATGCATTTCTTATAGCACACCATGATGACAGCTGGACAGCTTTCTCTCAAGCGTAGACTTTTGCGGGGAACGATTCAACTTGAGACATGACGCAAACTTACAAAAAGCTTCCTTTTCGCCCTACCCATGAAACTCCGAGCTTCCTATATGACGAGAGAGGGACGGCTTGGATCCGCCTACAGCTACATCCTGTTAACACCCTACGCATTCACAGGTAGTTCCGCGTAGCCCCTGATGTACATGCATGCTACCTTGCGTCCTTTTGAAGCAGCGAGGTGACGCTGCTCTGCAGTCAGAAGATTTTCGAATAGACAAACCAGTTGGTCAATTTCCTTTTTAGTTAATAGCGATGACTTTGAACATCAGGATGTGTTCGAGTTTAGAGTAGGCCGTTACAAGCTACTCCCTGCGGACAAAGCCAGCTACGCTTTCCCCGCGCACATATCAAACGGGCCTGTGCTCATTTTGTGGGCACCTCCATGCTTCCCTCAACTTGCGCGCTCTGTAGCACGCTATGCTACGCTGAAAGACTTGCTGCTGCACTAGCTCTACTTTTGCCAGAATAAGAAGCCTGAACTCATTGGTCCTTGTACATGCATCGACCCTATTCACTGCAAGTACTCTTAGCTCGCCACGAGAAGTTTCCGTTTTGTGTGCGAGGGTGCGCTCGACGTTACACCCGCCCTCGCTGTCCCTCACCTTTCATGTTTGAAGTTTTTGGGGGGGGGGTGGCGTGGGTGGGAAAGACAGAGAATTTTTTTAGCACCTGCAAAGTGTTTTGCCCTTATGTTTAATGGTGTCTGAGCGACTGCGTATGGAGACCCCAGTTGGAGTGTATCCCACGCGCGAAGATAGCCACTGTCGAGAAGGGGATACGCATTCAGATGTTCGAGGGGGCCTTTCGGCTTCCTTCTAGTTACCTGCATACCCCAGTGTATTTTTTATCTCGTCTGGGCAGGCAGTTCTCTAGGGATATCCTGTGCAGGGAGCAACTGCTGCCTCGGCCTCTTTCAGGCTTGCTTGCGCTAGGGGCGATTCGCGTATTACAGCACGTCTAGGGTATAGCGCATTCGGCATTGGCAGTCCCGAAGATGCCTTCGAGCTTTTTCGGTTTGTTGATTTTTTTCTGCATTGCCGTGTAGACCCCCAGCGGGGGGAACTGCCGTCAGGCCTTAGGGTTCGGACCGACGGCTTCATGAGCAACCCAGGAGGCGGCTCCACTAGAGAGAAGGATCGTGGCTAAATCAGCATTTAGACCTTTGGAATTAGAATTTCGGTTTCAGGGATTGTGGATTGGGTTTAAGCTCGGTGGATTATGCGAAAGCGATAGGGAACGCGAGAGACACATCGCCCCCTTGTCGGTTTGTCTTTCCCCGGGGCTTTGCATGCAGTCCATAAGGTAGCTGGGGGAAGGCATTGAAATTTAAGGCTGTTCTGTTTCGTACGTCGGTTCGTATTTGTTGCAACCGAAGTCTGCGGGACGGTGCAGCAGCAACAGTTTGTGCTGCCGCTCGCAGTTGAAGGTCCCCGCTTGTTCCCGCCTCGCCTCCTTTTCGTCACATTCCTCGTTATCTCCTGACAACTATGAATGCCATTAAGAGGTACCTGAAAATCCCACACAAAGCTGCTGTTGCTGCTGCTGTTGCCGCTGCCCCCGTAGCCTCTGCCCTCGCTGCCGTCGCGAGGTTTCCCTTCCCGCGGCAGCAAGATGCATGCGTCTTCAAACGCAGTCGTTTAAAGAGATCCCTGTGGCGTATTCCAGCCTCAGCGAGCCCTCCTTTCCCTGCACAGCCTTCTCTGAAGCGGGAGGAGGCCATGTAGGGGAGCACTTCCCTCCCTGGAGGCTTGCATGGACCATAAGCGTGGGAACGTGCAATGGGGTGTATATCATCATCGCTCTACCAAGATTCGCTAGGCTGTGCTTTGCCTTTGCACGCGGAAAGCACAGACTTTGATGCCTGTGAAGGGGCCTGTCGCGAATATTCATTAACCGCCGCGGAGCGCGATGCGTGGGCGTGAATGTGGTTGCTCGTAGAGCTGCCCGTCCTGTGGCTGTATGTATTCTCAGGTCTTTCGGTGTAGGCGTGTCTGCATGTCGAGAATTTTCGAGCTGGTCTGGCTTGGGCGCCTTCGTGGAGGGTTCAAGTCAAGGACCTTGGCAGGCACTGCGTCAGAATGAGCAGCGCGTTTCCTCCATCGTGAAGAAAATCGAAGCAGACTCAAGGAGGGTGCAGCAGATTGACTGGGATAAGTGGGAGCAGCAGATTGCGCATAAAGACATTGTCAAGTGGTCAGTCTGTGTGTCTGTGTATGTGTGTGTGTTCATGGACGCGGAATTCGGTTTTTTGTCGGGTTGGGGTGTAGAGGGGGAGTAGGGCGAATGTTCAATATGAAAAGGATCAGTGCATTTGTGCGCGATGTTACATTCGCTTCCATAAAATAATTGAATATATCCATACACACACGGATATCCCTGCATATTCATGTATATATGCATGCATGAGTGAATGTTTACGTCTAGATGAGCTCACAGATGCAGACTCCTGCAATGCCCTGCCCGTGTTGTACTACGCCTTAAGACCCTAAGGGAATCGTTCTTGAGGGCATGGCATGCGAGGATTGTAGCTATTTCGCTGTTTTTCTGCGTTCAGCATGCGCGCGCATTACGAATCCCAGTCATCTCTTTTTTCTGCACTTCTCTCTGGAGGCGCTTCTTCTTCGCTGACGCGAGTTCACGGCCTGGCTGTTGGATGGGATTCTTTTTCAAAGGCTCTCGAGAGCTGTGAAGCCTCTGTTCGCCAATCGGAGTCGCTCCTGAATAGTGGAGCAGCAGCTCTTTGGGTGTCTTACCACAACCCACCGGTCTCTAAGCTAGACACAAATGAGGTCCGTCATCAGTCACCGCTCAGTTGTTGTCTCTATCTATTCATCCGTCTTTCTCTCTCTGTGTGCATGTATATCTTTTCTATGTTTATCTATTCATCTACCTATATTTCTCTCTCTCGCTCTCTCCTTCTTGGTCTCTGTGGGCATGTCTGTGTATGCATGATGCATGCAAAAAATTCAGGGAACCGATTTCGCGCCGGCGTATGTATTCCGCATCATGGGGACTGATCGTGGCCTCGCACGTCGTGTGCGACTTGTTGTGTAGTGCCACCTGAATGCATGCATTTTTAGTTTTTCGCATAGAAAGCTGCACCGTAGGCACATTTCAGAGAAGAAGAGGAAACGCTGGAGCTCCGCCGCATCCTGGCGGCTGCCTTTTTGTCGCACGGCTGTGTGTGCAAATTAGTTTTCTGCGAAGTTTCCTGTGTTTGCGGCTACAGTGGTTGGACACGGATTTGTATTGGCAGGCGTTTGTGGAGAAGCACCACTTCTACTCGCCATACCAGCCTCCCTTGGAGGACCCTGAAAGCCCCGTAAGAAGAAACGCATGCGGTCGTTTTATTCAGGATCTTTGTTGCACGGAAGCCGCTCCAGCTGCGCTTCACCAGGAAGACGTTTGCGCACACCCTCAGGGGATGCGCAAAAGAGGCTGTGCAGAGTGACTTGCTCGCGAAGTTCTGTCTCATGAGGGCTGGCACGTTGCGAGTCTGATCATTATTGACGAAATGCAGGCTGAAAAGGAGCGCGTTAAAGCCTCTTGGCATAGCCGGATGGCCAAGTTTAATGATCGATCCGACACGCCGATGCTCTACAACTTCATGGAAACGCTTCCTTCATGGGAGTACTATGACATTCACAGGTGAGAGCTCTTCGTGTTCTCCTCGTGGGGAGTTGCATCCGGCTCGTCTAGCCGTTCGAAAGAGATGACGGTATTTTTTGCATGGAATCGTATGGACTGTGAGCGCACGACTACACGCTGTCTGGCTGCAAAAATTCTATTCATGTCGCTGCTGTCTGTTGCCTCTTTCTTTTGTCAACTGGGGTATATGCTGGCCTCCCGTTTGGCGTTCCCCCCCCCTCGCCCGTTCTTCCCTGTGTCTTGGCTAGATGACTGTCTATCTATCTACATGTAAATATATGCGTTGAGCTCTTTTCATGTACCTTGTGTCAGTCGTGCATGTGTCCATGGTGGAGGCCAGTGCTTTGGTGCTCATTTCTTTTCCGAGATTCAGCAGCATCTTGCGTGCTTTAAAAGACATTCTCACTACGACCTCGCGATTCGGCTTCTTTCTGCTAGAGCCAACCGTTATTGCCGCCTTTAATTCATCCCTCACCCTTCCCTGCTTCCTACTCCCCTTTCCCCACCGTCCATCTCCCATTATTTAGCGTGCTTTGTACGTCTTCTTGTTGCACAGGCGTGCCTTTCTGGAGCACATGATCTATTTCCTCGTCAGGCGGGGGGCTGACTACCGCTTTTTCCCGGAGATCACTCCGTGGCAGTGGTTGGGAGACATCGAGGATCAGCGCGCAAAGTTCTTCTCAGTTGTACGCATGCAGCACAGAGGCCCCTTTTCGATGCGTTTTGCTCTCTTCTCCTTCCTTCTTCCGACCGAGCTTTTATGAGGAAGAATGTCTGCTTTGTGCGGAATCAGCTACTGCGGGTTCTCGTTGTTGCCAATTGAGGCGAAAGACAAAGAGATGCAACGCCTCTACATTCGACTTTTCTTCGTGCATCTCAGTGCACTACGTGCGATATCTGATCGTCTGTCGAATTAACGTGTACTCCCTGTTCGGTTTGGCCTGTCTCTTATGACCCCGCTCGCGTATTACTATTGTCGTATTTCTGTTCGCAGCACAGCAACCGGCTGGCTGCAAGTGCGTGCTGCTGCATCTGCGTGTATCGATTCATGTCCAGTTTGCTTCTACCTGCCTATGGCAATCCGTGAACCTGCTGCATGCACGTGACGACGGCCTTTCTGTGCTCTCCACACAGGCTCAACGCCGCCGTTCCCACTTCCAGTTGAGCTCTCTTAGTCGTGAGAAACCTCTGGATCTCCTGCCATTAGACGTAGAGCATGACGGGGCCGTTGCAACTCTCCGTTTCCTGCAAGCCGAGGCTACGGCTGTTTCTGCAACTGTGGGGAGGCTGATGGCTTCCTTCTCCTTCCTACCAGATCCCTTCATCCCGTGCAGCTCCACGCGGAGTGCCTTGAGGGCTATGGAGGTAGATGGGGGGAAGGGGCAATGGTTCGATCTGGGGGAAGACGTCAGCGCACTCTTCTACCTCCCCACGAAGCAGGCGAGGAGGATTCCCCATCCAAGGGAGGCCTTCTATAAGGTCATGGTAAGCAAAAATAGGAGCCTTCCATTCGAGCAGGCATCACATGCACAAAATATGCACAAAATATGCACAAAATATGCACAAAATATGCACATATATATGTATATATATGTATGCTGCAAGAGGCTGGACGCCTCGAGTATGGTTGCAGAGTGCGAGAGATGACCTCTGCACACTAGAAAGCAGATCCAGAAAACGAGGCAGATGACGGCCATCTCGCCTCCTCGAGGTTTAGACGCCGTTTTGTTTCTCAAGCGGCTCATTCATGAGCTGCATGTACACCCCGTGAACGTGTGCTTCCCGCCGGAATTCTCAGGACCACCTCACAATGACTGGAAAACGAATGAATCCAGCATATGCGACGCTCTTCGATTCTTTCACAGACGTCCTCCAGCAGCGGGGAGACAACTGGTCAGTGCTTCTTTCTCCTGCGTTCTATGCGCAACGGCTTCTTTCTCTTGCGTTCTTTCTTTTTTGACGTTTGTCGTGTAGTCTTCCCGTCTCGGCTGTGCTGGGCAGCTTCTCTCTGTGCCGGATGTGGTCTGGAGGCGTTCCCCCTCTTGGCCTTTCTCGTGTCATGCCTCCCTGCTAGTTCCTCTGTGATGCACATAGCCGTGTAGGAGCCATATATGCACTGGTCTGTGTATTTGCTTGTTTGCCTGCGTTCAGGTTCTGCGATGAGGGGGAATGTGCATCTCAGGCGTTTCTGCGGCGGCTGCGTTCCGATGATCCTATGAGAGAAGTTTTTTGCGATTATTTCGAGGAGATGTACAGCAGATTTGAAGCTGCAAAGGAGGTCAAGCCTGCGGAGTTTTTAAAGCTCTTGGCCAAGAAGGAGGCCAGCCATGGGGTCGAATCCGAGGTGTACAGACACTGGGCTCTGTTTGCATCTCCAGAGGCTGCAGCAACCGCGAAGGAAGAGTCGGATCACCTGACTTCCTTGTTCAAGAGCAAGCAGCTGCAGCCAGTCTTGGATGCAAATGGAATCGTTGCGATCGGGCCAGACGGCCAGAAAATCACGGATGCGGGGCAAGTTGTTGCTTCCTTCAACGAGTTCGAGCTCCTCGTGAGTTTGATGCACACACTTCGCATGCACGCGGGGGCCCCTTTGCCTTGCCTTACGGTGGTTCAGAGAGCGTTATTCGTTGTGCTTTTTGTTTCATGAGTAAGCTTGAGGCTTTTTGCTGCGCTAGAAGGGGTGCGTGGGGGTTTGCTTGCGTTGAAACGGCTAGATTACCGGCAGTGGGGTGCTCTGATGATGTGCAATATGCTGCAGAAGGAAACGATCCAGGATAGTATTAAGGCCCTTAAAGTCCCAGGTGGAACTGACGCTCAAAAAACTAACTAATGAGCAAACCTTTACACAGCTAGCTAAGGCGAACGGCACATATTCCTGCCTCAGTGTCTCTGGCCCTTGCGGGGAGACACATAGGAAGGGTAACACACGTGTGGCGTGTCTGTTCAAAAGAGCACTCTCCCAGTGGGTGTCAAGAACGCTTCGACGATGTGAACGTTCATGTGCTCCTCCTCGAAAACCTGTATCTACGAAGATTTGCTTCTTCCAGGCGTCTTTCCAGGGGCCGCTAATGTGTTCATGGGCGGCCCCCTTTGCAGCCTTTAAGCTACGGTTTATAGCGTTTTCGACAATAGGCGGATCGAAGCAGCAGCACTGCACTTGTGCCACTCCTAGTTGTACTTTAGGGAAGATGCTCAGGCAGAAACGGCTGCTACTGCACATCTTCCAAGACCAATCAGAGCAAGCACACCGCACTTCAGTGAACTGCAGTGCAGGCCGCAGCATACATAATATGTATTTATATATACACGGCGTAATTATGTGTATATGCTGCTGAACATGATTCAACTATTTGTGGCTAACTGTTCTGTTTAGCTGATTACCCGCTTGGCTAACCGGACGGCTGAAACATTTAGCTGATGAGTTGTCTGTTTGTTGGGTAGCTGCGTGTTTTCTACCAGCTACCTCTTGCGTCTCCCTCTGCATATATAAGCTTGGCGGCGTCGGAAGCGTGTGCAGTGCTCTCAATAGGAAATAGATGAAGACTGGTACAGAGGCCAGCGTTTCTGTGAACATTTGCAGTAGGCTGCATTCTTAACTAATGGCGGTAGGTGGACGGGTCGGTAAGTGTGACTTTCTCTCGCCTACTCAGTGCAACTCGCGTTTCGTGCTGCGCTCATGCGTTTCCTTCTACCCTCGGCAAGCATGCGATAATAAGACCGAATTGATTTAGACACGCTTCAAGGATAGCTGGCAAATGCCACGTCTACTACTCCCACGGGCAATTCATGTTATACGTGCTCTCCCGCAGAGCAGGAGCAGTATACCCCGAACGGCGGGCAGCATGCTGCGCTCTGCTCGCTAGAGTAGCTGGTTGCCACTGGAGCGACATGCAGCGAGCCAGGCTTGCGAGCTCTGCACATCAGTGCTGCCGTTTTGTGGCTAGCTGGTCTAACTAGCTGGTAGCAAAGAGGTTGCGCATGAGACTCTCCACCACAAGAGGATCGTCTGCTCCGGGGAGTACATCCGCATTGGGAATCCAAGGCTCCGCAGCCTGTTCACACCAATGTGGAGACAGCAAAGCCGACAATTTAAGTCTTGGAGAGCACAAAACCTCGGCGAAAGACTCGCGGCAAGCGCAAAAAGCGACAAGAGGGAAGACTACAACAGAGCAAGCAGGCTTCTCCGTGTCTTCACTCACTCACACCTCCGGCGGAGCTCACTAAATACACGCTATATAAACAGACAAGCAGCACAAAACACACCCACATACTGCTCCCTATACATACGTACCATGAAGTGCTCGAGCTGCGGAATCGTCTTATAACGAATCTTTCGACCCTTAGATGCACGGCGGTCCACTTCGCGAGCTGCAAAGACAAACTCAATACTCCCGTGAGGCATACTGCACTGCAACACACTTGGATATTCCTTACTGGCCACAAACGCGTAGTCTCAAAAAGCACGGACCCTTTTCTCTGCCGCGCTTCTTCAAAAGCTCCTTCTCTTTTGCCAACTCGGTGGCATCCATCCTGCAGCAAAACACACGGTAGAGCCTCCTAACGTCCTCAAACGGCGTCCTTAAGGAGCCTGTCTTTCGTGACAAACAACAAAGACACCCCTTCACTGAATTCGAGCAGCTTCGCTGAACATTCGGCTCAGCGCTTCGTCTTTCTTCGCGCTCACTGAGCAGTGCCCGACGCCACGGAAGATTTCAGCAAATCCACATAAAACTCCTGAAAGACGCAGACAGCATGAAAAAAAATACCAGCAACACACAATACAAAGAAGTGCTCATAAAATACATACATCAAAGGCCTCAATGCAACACATAGATATATATATATATATATTATCGGAAACGTGGGATAGAGGTAGCACCTCGCCACGACGAACACTAACGGCCTAAACACCGCCAACGCGAGAAATCCTTTGCAAATCCACACAACTCGGCACAGCCAGCCAAATCTCTTCTACAGATCACGTGCATGTGTGTATTGCGCCTTGTTTTTTCAGTGCGATACAGCAGGCGCGCCGAACAATGTGCATCCACATAGATGCACGTATTAATCTAGACACGGAATTCCATGCAGTAGGCATTGCTGCACACGCAGCCATTCCTAGTTCCACTGCACTGTCGCCTGCAAACCCTCCCCTATTCAATCATGACATCTCCCCTCCCTCTGTGTGTATTTGTGTGCATTTGTGTCTGTCTGTCTGTGTGTATCCGTGTATCTGCCTGTCTGTCTGTCTGTCTGTCTGTCTGTGTCTGTGCGCGTCCTTAGAAATCGCTTATAAGGCTGCTCTCGTGAGGAAGCAGAGATCGAAAAGTTGAGCTCACAGTATCCTCATATTGCATGTGAGGCTCTTGACTGGCGGTGCATCCCACAACGGCACATGGCTCCCTCTTGCGTAATGTTGCGCTGTGCCTGTCACTGCATGCTGCCTTGCCTCCCGCACGACTGCAAGATCGCAAGCTGCGACTCAAGAGCTTCGCTTCTTCGGCTTCCATGATATTCCTAAGCTGAGCAGACACTGGCTGGTGGAATACTGCGAATGTCTTGGACCGCTGCAATAAATCAGACGCAGGCGACAACCAACGCCCTCCTCCCCCTCACATCGCGCACGCGGCCAAATATCGTTTCCGCCAAGCGGGCAAAAAAAGCTCCCAAAATGCGATAAGCGAGAGCATATGAATAGGCGGGAAGGGCAGGAGAAATACGGGCAGGCACAAGGGGAGGCGGTGTCAATTTAAGGGGTCTGCCTGCGGGAGAGACACGGAAGTCAACTATGCTGCGTGGTGGAGTAAGATTTCGAGGTTACCTCCGAGGAAGTTTGTGCGTGCCAGGCATCGGCGTTAGAAAGACAGACCGTGATGAGTCTCTGTGCGAATGCACTATCTCCTAAGAACTTCCACACATCCATTTCTCCCCCTTGAACGCGATCTTGAAGGTTCCCGTCGAAGTAAATCTCTCGGCGCTTCTGCCAATTGCCTCCTGCTTCCCACGCCGGAGCAGGTGCAGATGCCTCCGCAGTCGCCACTGCAGAAAACGCTGCGGCGAGAGAGGACTGCTGAAGGAGCAGCTGCTGCAGCTGATGCAGCAACGCGAATGTGCGGGCTGCTTCGCTGCGGACTGCAGCGATTGCTGCCTGCATGCCTTCCCCTTGCTGCCGCTCGATGTGCTGCTGCACATCGATTGCCGGCATGGCGTTCGCCAGCCGCAGCGCAGAATTCATCGACACTCTCAATCCAATCAACTTGGCGAAGAGCTGCTGCTGCAGCTGCACCTGTTGGGCTTTGCGCTGCTGCTGCGCCTCCCGTCTACCGGAGTCTCCCCCGACAAGCACCAAGCGATGCTGTTGTTGCTGTTGTTGCTGCTGCTGCCTCTGTACCTTCCGCACGCGCTTTACAAGACCTTCATCTAACCGAAGGCGCTTGGTCTGAGAGGGGGGAGTGCCACCCTTCAGCCGCAGGCTCCCCCGCTCCTCCCCCTCGCTGCCGCTGCTAGACTTTATTTCGTCATCGCTACTTTCCTGCCGCTGCCTCCGCCGCTTCACAGCCATTTCTGAGGGGTTGCTCTTCTCAGAAGACCATCCGAAGGGTGCTGAGAGGCCCCCTTGCCCTTGAGTGGTCATCACACGGGTTTCGAGTTATCGGCTCAACGTTGCTGAATACACTCGAGCTTCTCGCAGACTTTCGCATGAGTCGTTTCAAGAGATTCGACAGAAGGAAGGCATCCGAAGGAAGGAAACACTTTAGGGCAGAGGAGGGAAGCCTTTGCCAGGCCCTGCTCAACAGCTTCCGGTGTACGCATGAGTCTTCCAGCATACGACCTCCTGTCCGAAGGAGGAGAAAGGGAAGCAGAAGGCACATGAAACGCCGAGGGTAGAAGGCCTCCCAATATCCATCGAAGTGCCCACGCTACGCGCTGCTAGTGCTGCTGCTCTTGCACTTGCTCGCGAGGCTCTTGCGGCGCGGCTGCATGCGTTTTGGGGCTGCCGCCGCTGCCGTTGCACTTTTGTGGTGTGTCTGCGCACCTCGCCAGCACCAGGATACAGCAAATTCACGAGCCTCGAATGCCCCAGAATATTCCTGTTTTTTCGTGCCGCCTGCAATGCAGTGAAGAAGACAACGCGCGCGGAGATGGGCCTGCTGCAGCAGCACGAGGGATCCAGCCCCTCTTCCGCCGCTGCATCTCCCTGCCAGCAGCAGCCGAAGGATGAAGCAGAAGAGTGCCAGCATCAGCGACAGGCTGTGTATCGCGTGCGGCTTCCGAGAGCTCTGCTATTCAAGCCCGTGCTGTCGCACACCCCCGAAGAGGCCCCTCCGTCAGCGGAAAAGGACTTTGAACTGTCTCTTGAGGAGGCAGCAGCCAGCGCAGTAGAGAGCTGGATTGATCCCGATGGCTCTGATTTTGCTGCCGCTGCTGCTGAGGCGCTAGAGGAAGAAGAAGCGGTCCGTCAGGGGGGAACAGAGGATCCGGCGGGTAAGCCTCCTGCACTCAAATCTGCGCAGCGATTCAAACTTGGTCTGCCACTCGGATGCGCAATGCATCACACATGTAGACATTTCATGAACAGAAGTAGCAGGGCGAGATCGCATGGGTCTTATCATGCCTCTTGTTCCATGCCTTCCCAGTATTCGTTGCGTGCTTGTGTGACAACGCAGCAGTGCTGCCTCTCCTCGCGTATCGTGTGGCTGCCCTCTTCGCTTTCTTTGACGCCAAGAGCAAAGATCCCCTGGCTGTCGGTACACTCGGCCGAACACTCTCTTGTCTTCTGCGGTCCCTTGCTTTCGTCCTCGGGCGCCTCCTCAAGGGGCCCCTTGGAAGGAGGCGTCTCAAGCTCTCTGTTGCCGCAGCCGCGGAAAACGCCACTGTTGTTGCAACCCCTCCTCCGGATGCAGCTGCAGAAGCGCCGGCAGCAGCACAGCTGCCTGCTAGTCACGTGCTGTATCAACACCACTCGTTCAATCTGTACGCAGAGTTCTGTCTCTGCATGCGGGGGAACCCCCAGAGCGTTGAGGCGCCCCTTCCTGCCTCTGGATCTTTCGACATCCTCCCTCTTCCGGCTGTCGCTGGAGTCACTTTTCCCCTCGTAGTATCCGCAAAAAAGCGCTGGAGCCTCGAGAAAGGGGCCCCTAAGACCTCCTCTTCGGGAGCCTCCGCGGAGAGAGCTTCGCTGGATGCTGTGGACGTAAGAGAAGATGAAGTCGTCTTCTTAGGAGAAGGACTGAGGTTCAGGATTTTGGAGTGTATCCGCATCCTCGTGCGTGCAGCTTCCGGGAGAGACGGGTATATGGCATTGGTGGAAAGCGTGACGCGCTCGGAGGTGCCTATACACCTCAAGGCCGTCTGTCTGCCAGGTCTCCTGGCAGCCACTGCAAAGATAAGGAGGAAGAAAGATCGCTTCATAACGCAACTTTGCTCGATCATTATGAACAAAACGCTTCCCGTACGCGCGCCGCATAGCGCAACAGAAAGCCTTGCCAAGTTGCTGCCCTCCACGGCCAAACGGGTGCTTCGAATCAAAGAGAAGCAGCAAGTTCAGCAGCAGCAAGTTCAGCAGCAGCAAGTTCAGCAGCAGCAAGTTCAGCAGCAGCAAGTTCAGCAGCAGCAAGTTCAGCAGCAGCAAGTTCAGCAGCAGCAGAAAGATCAGCAGCAGCAAGTTCAGCAGCAGAAAGATCAGCAGCAGGAGCCGGGAGTGAAGGGCTCCTTCCCCGTATTGGCTGTTGGATCTGATGTCTCCTTGCCTCTGCGGCTGCTGATCCTTGCCCACGCGACGCAAGGCCTTGTTGTAGCGCTAGATGCAGGAAGCGGTGCATCGAACGGTCTAGATAAGAAGACTGAGAGCTTTGGTCAGGAGGAGCTCGAGCAAGAGCGCGAGGCACAAAAAAAAGGATCAGGAGAGGCGGATCCGCAGACTGAGCAGCACGCCGACAACCCCCTCGTGGCGATGCATGCCATACAATCCGTCCTCTTTAAAGCCTTGGAGTTGTCAGTGCCTCTTCTCGCGGATCCCTTCATGGCTCCCCCTACTCCTGAAGGATCTGCATGCGTTCAAATAGACCGCTCCAGGCTGCACAGCATGCAGCGGGAACCTTGGTCGGGGGCTTGCCAAGCGCTTGCCGAGTGTGCCGTCAGAAGTCGTGCTGGGCTTGTCACTGCGGTTTCTCGCCTCCTCAAGTCGCCCGTGCAGTTTGGTTATTCTCGACGGCATACATTTGCTGCTGCTTCTGATGCCCTCCAGCAGCAGCATCAGTATCAGCATCAGTATCAGCAGCAGCAGCAGCAGCAGCATCAGTATCAGTATTACTCACGGCACCAGCATAAGTATCAGCATCAGCATCAGTATCCCTCACAGCAGCAGCAGCATCAGCAGCAGCATCAGTATCAGTATTACTCACAGCAGCAGCAGCGGCAGTGGACGGCGGAGGAGCTTTCTTTGTGGTTCGCAGTTGATTCGCTTGTACGTCAGTCGGGGGCTTTACTGTCTCGAGGCGAAGAAACCCTCTGTTACGCTTTGCAGCGGCTCAATATCTGTGCTGCACCAGCTCCGCAACAAGGCGACATGGAGGTGGGACCGCTTGCCTCAGCCTGTCTGGTGTATGGACTGCTCATTCTGCTGCTCGGCTCACCCTCTCTTCCTGCCCCCATATGCCTCGCCCAGCGCGCAGTCTGGGCTCTTAAGGCTGCCTGCATCTTCATGCAGCACGCAGATGCGGAAGCCGCAGCCACTGCTGCTGCAGGCACAGCGCGGCAGCAGCAGCAGCAGCAGCAGCAGCAGAAGGAGCACCTAGCCGCTGCAGCAGAGAGCGTCGGGATCTGGAAGGAGGCTCGATGGCTCCTGCAACGCAAAGCAGAGCAGCTGCTTGTTTTCGGTGTATCCTTGCTGCCGATAGTGCAGCAGCAACACCCCGAACGCTTCGAGACTCCCCACAGCCTAAGGGCCTACCCCGCGCTGCTGCTGCTCCTGCTGCTGCAGCAAATGGCGTCAGCATCCACCAGCGCAGCTCGTGGCTTCCTCATCCTCTCTCAGATGGGAGGGCGCCTCCACGCTGCAGCCGAGGAACAAGACGGCTGCCTTAGCTCCCTTGGCATCGCCGATGTGGAAGACGGTCCTGTAGAGGCCTCTTTCTTGAAGGAAAAACTCAAGGCGGAGCACTTCGCCCTCAGAGGAGGAGACATGACTGTCTTGTACAGATGCGTCGCTGTTGTAAGACACGCACACGCGTTCAATTCCCCATCGAAACTCAACTGCTGCTGCACATCCAGCGTCGCGTTTCCCCCAAAGTCTTCGTTGTATCCTTGCTTGCACTTTATGTGGTCTTCTGCTCCTGTCAGCACTGCTGCCAGGTTGTTTCACAGAAATCGTATATAGGCCTTGCGCTCCTCTTTCTCCGCTTCTGCTTGCAACTTCGGCGCTGTTGCCCCCTTCTGCGTGACCTTTGTGCACCCGACAGTCTGCGCCGAACCTCGAGTTTCCCCTGCGTTCGACAGTTGCTTTTTGTGAATGCCTGCATGTAAATATATATATATATATGTGTATGTATGTGTGTATGTATGTGTGTATGTACAGCTGACAGGGGTTTTTGCATGGAAGGCACAAATATCACTTTTTCAGTCGCTGCTGAATCCGAAAGAGTTTCAGCTACCAGACGCTGCCACTGCTGCTGTTCTCATCCTCCTAAAGGAGCGGTGGTGCCTTCAGGTACTCCACTACCAGAATGCGGATGCTCCTGCTGCTGCTGCTGCTGACGCCAATCCGCAAGTATCTCAGCCAGCAGGTGCAGTTGGAGGGGCGAAGGATCCCTTATTGGCTCTGACGAATTTGAACGTGTTAGCCTTTGTAGTGCAAACGCAACTTATCAACAGAGAGGAAACAATAGCTGAAGGCTCAGAACGCCTCTCTTGCGTCCTCAATTGGCTAAAACTAGTCCTCCTACAGGGTCATAAGAACCCGAACAGGGGGCCTAATAAGGCACACGGCAGCAACCCTTTTTATGCCATGGGTTTGCTGCTCCTACGATCCCTCAAGCAGCCGCTCCTAGAGGCTCTGCGGAGGCTAGCGAGTCAAGCGGATGCGGAAGAGGTACTAACACAGAGCCGTGGGGGTCCGGAAGGTCTGAGGGGCCCCCAATGTCTTTTGGGAAGGGGGGCCCCCTCCACAGCAGATAAAGTTGAGCTGCTGAGGCCTTGTGGAGGGGCAATGCGACACTCTAGCGCTGCTGCGGAGCAACGCATGCGGCTGCAGCTGGTCTGTCTGGTGCTACAAGAGGTAAGAGATCTGGTTTATCAGGCAGCAGATGCAGCAGCCACAGCAGCAGGAGAGGCGCTGCAGCTGCCTAGCATGTAAGAGCAACTGAGTGTTTTAGCAGTTTCCTTAGCTGCATGCAAGTATCGATCTCCAGCTGTCCGCTAGCCTAGCCAATTACAGGGGTCTTGGAAAACCCCTACTTGGACTATATGCCTGCGTCGGAAATTTTTAATTCGGTTTTATAACTTATGTTTGTACAGTGAACGATGTCGTTGTGTCTCTAGATGCGATCCCCCTGGGTTGGCAAGGATGCTTAGTACGTAAGGAGGGGGCCCCCAAACCCGCCGAGTCTTACCCACTGCATTCCTGACTGAAACAGACTCTTCGCCAATCAAATATAGTTTTAGCTGCTCATTGGATTTCCGCTAATCAGTAGCGCACTTTTTGTGATGGATGCTGCACGAGGAGGCGGGTAATGGCTGTTCGCTAGCTAGCTATGACGTTTTTTTCCTGGGCATCCGCCTTCACGCAGAACCGCAGGAACAAGAAAAACTGTGCTTAGGTACTCAAAGAGCGTGAGCATCGAGATCTCTCATCTGCATCGTGCAGCTCACTAACGAGAGACACAAATGTACACTTTTCTGCCTGCAACAGCACCTCAGAGGGCGAGCCTCAAGTTACTTTCTGGGACTACTGCTTGGGGTTGCCATGCTTTTTGACTGTCGGGGCAGTCCATACACACGCGCCTCAGTAGACTTCCAGTGCCTCAGCACACTTATCTGTGGCAAAGAGAATGCTCTTATTGGGTATGTTCGCTGTGCTCCTTTCCATTTAGAATTAGTGGGACCGTTAGGCTTTCCCTAGGATGCGTTTTGGAGGCTCTAAAGGGTGTGTCTTATCAACACTTCGAAGAAAGGAACAGAATATTTCTTTCGAAAAGCTGTTGTAATTTGTCACTTTCGCGTCACGGGGCTCGGGCAAGAAGGGAAGGAAGACGGCAACGATGCCCATTGTTGCGACCTCGATTTGCACTCCGCCCGTCCGCATGGACTTGCATCGAGCAACCTACAGCTTAACATACATGGTGTTCGCATATGTAGTGTGTAATCATCTGTTCTATGCAACCAGGTGCAGTGTACGCCTAGCTCAGTACTATTCCAACGCATGCCGTGCTCCTGCGCACACGCGATAGTATGCGTGACTCCCCGATGAATAGTGCAGCACATACAAGGCACAGCTGCTTGCATTATGGTCGTCTGTTTTCAACACTTGGGGCACTGTTGTTACAGGCCAGCGGCGTTTCATGCAGTGGCGAAGCTGCACTTGAGCGCTTTCTTTTTAGACTGAACATATTTGAATAGTGATAAATAAAGAACTTCGTCTATAGTTCATCGGTTCGGTTAACACACTTATGGCAGCGCAGCGCTAGATCGATGCAATAAGACGCAATGTTGTATGCGTATGCTCTAGATGCTATGTACAACTAATGGTGAATGCTCGGAGTGTTTAGAGGGCTCAGCTACACGCATCCTAGCTGACCCTCTCCCTTCATGTCGAAACCATAAAGGGCACGGAAAGTTTAAGGAAGAAGCTTCTTTGGAAGGACATTCATTAATTCCTGATTAGTTTGCTTCGAGTCTGAAGTTAGGTGCCTCTACGAAGCCCCAGGCAAAGACTAACAGTTGGTGACACCGTGTGTTTCGATGCAGCCGTTCTCCTATCCAGTGGTTGTGGATGAGGTGAGATTTGAGATTTTCTGGCTTTAATCAATACATCTGATAGCTCAATCATCCCCCCTGGGCAACAATTTTTGTGA